TAAACTGTATGCTACATTATGTCATTTGTCGATCCTACTACTACTACTACTACTACTACTACTACCTCTACTACTACTACTACTACTACTACTACTACCACTACTACCACCACTACTACTACTACTACTACTACTACTACTACTACTACTACTACTACTACTACTACTACTATTACTACTACTACTACTGCTACTACTACAACTACTACTACTAATACAACAACACTACTACTACTATTGCTGCAGCTGCTACTACTTCTACTATTTTTGGCTTTCTACAAACATAATGACAATCACGTATTAAGAGTACTCATCTAGGATATTGAATACTAAATCATAGACTGTTCCCCCAATGGATTTCAAATACATTTTTTGGTTTGTTGTTAAATTATTTCTTTTCATGCTTTGGTTTGTGCATTTTTATTTTTTTTAAAATTATTACTTTAATTACTGTTTTCGTTTTTTTTTGTTTTTTTTTATCTTTCGGTTTTTATTAAGTGTGATGAGGTGACCATCGGTGACCTAAATTTTCGGAACAGTTAGATTTCAAGAAAACGGACGCACAAATTACTAGAGGGAAATCCCCTTTTGGCTTAAGGGGAGCTTTAGTATGTAGGAGCTCATAGTTCGGGTAGTCTCAAAATATATCAAACTATGACTTGTCACTTTTTGTACTTTGTCTTTTAAATATTTTAGCTGACCGCGTAGGCAATAATTATTTTCTAAGCTAATGTTCCTAATCTCATGAGGACCAATAACTTCGTTAAGTCTAATCTCTCTACACAAGGCAAAACTGTTACTTTTGTGAAATGCACTCTATTTAAATTTAAAATTATACATTTATATGTATTTTATGTACACACACACACAAAAGCGCATCATTCAAATGAGGTCAAATTTTTTTTTAAAAAAAAGGTATATCCGGGAGAGAACTTGTATCCACATGTTTGTGTCTGGGTGGAGATTCGGGTGTTTTTTTTACCATGTTCAGTGTCACTGGCGAAAGAAAAAAAAAGTGTGTGTGATGGAAGGGGGGGGGGAAGGGGGGTGCTCAGTGCTGTCAGCCTTGGCTAAATTTTCTTTCCGCTTTATACAGGCGTAATGTTTGATGTGTATTCTATATTATTATGTTTTGTGGTTTTATACAGGCTTAAAAAAAAAGGTGTGGTGGTGGGAGGGGGGGGGGGGGAAGGGGGGTGCTCAGTGCTGTCAGCCTTGGCTAAATTTTCTTTCCGCTTTATACAGGCGTAATGTTTGATGTGTATTCTATATTATTATGTTTTGTGGTTTTATACAGGCTTAATGTGGGATGTGTGGTCTATATGTTTTGTGGTTTTCCTGAGTAGGGGATGGTAAAATCAAGGACCCCCGCCCCCGGGGTTATCACCAACTCTTATAGTTACGCCGCTGTTTCATGGTATTTATTTGTTGTTTCCCCCCCCCCTCACCTTTTTTTGAAAGCCTTGTAATATATGATAATATCTGTCAATTCTAATCATATTTTCTTACACATGTAATACATTTGTTTTCTCAAGTGGTGTTACTGAGGTGTTAAAAAAAAAATCTTGGGGAAAGGGAAGTGAATTCATGAGTAGACCACTTAATATTACATTAACAGTCTCCTTTTAAAAGGATTGTTACGAAATCCACAGCGAGAAATGTGTCACGTTGACATATGAGTGAAGTAGGCCAACCACTACAGCATACGCTCGATTATGTTCGGCCACCAAATACATATGCTTATAGTCTATAACTTATAGTCAGCCACCTTGACAGAGTACAGTTCTTAGGCTGTACAATCAATCACAATTAAAAAGAAGTATCTGTTTCAAGACTTCTATGTTCAAGTTCAAGTGCTGTTCGGTGAACCAGTTGTAAATGTAATTCTTATGTGAGCTGTATATTGTTCGATGTTCTTCCATTTGTCCGTTAGTTTGGCTCTAGAACTGCGCACTGAAATGTCTCATGTCCAACTTAGCAATTTACATAGATGACAAAATAATAAAGTAGTTCGCATATTTAAAAAAAATAATAATTCAACAGCCAGTAAAGACATGTAGTGTAATGTGATGGTGATTTGTTTTCCTTGGATTCCGAGTGTTCTAGGAAGAAGGGTAAACGTACACATCTGTGATACGTTAAACAGTGAATTAATTTTTTTCCATTTCTTAGAAGTCATCTTATCCTTATCTTTACGTCTTGTTAAATATGCAATATGTGAGGGTACACGTTTTACTTGCATGTGTTATAACTGGTCTGATCACAGTTTTATATATAGCTTTCTTTGATTTATTTTTTAAAATGGTTTACTTTGGGGTATTGTCTGACTACTAAACTATGCCCTGTTTCCGGCCCATATTCTTTCTTTTATTTCTCAGTTCTGTTTGAAATTCATTTCTTTTATTTAAAAAGGGTGCTAGACATTTGAATTGGTTAACTTTTTCAAATGTCTGGTCTATAATTTTAAGTGTTTTATCTGTATGTTTATCTCTTAACATTCTCATGTTCTTGTTGTTGTTTTTTTTGTTAACTTCCAGCTCTGCTTGTAGTGATACATCCTATAATTCAATAAAAGCTTTTGATACGCCATCAACAAATGCAAGATACTGAAAGGGGTAGGTTGTAGAGAGTGCCTATTGTTTGTGGTTTACCCTCAGAAAGTATCCTGCTGTTGTTCTTCGGGTGTCAATAGTTATTCTTCTTGTAACTCTCTCTGATTTTTAGGTGAAATAGCATACAAGAGTCTCCTTGTCCTAGGTCTTTTCTAATCTGAAATTACCTTGACTATTCATCAGCGATTTTGGTTTCTGAATTGTTAAATGTTATATTTATCAGTCCTGTCAGTTAGTTGGGTATGCCAAACTCCTACAGAGTCTCATACAGGAATTTACTTCCCATGCTGATATGTCATTTTATACTCCACATAGAATGGATGTACTGGGATAATATATTCGTAACATTTCTCTAAAAGGCGTCTAACTTTAAATATCTGATCAGACGTTGATCTATTTGTCTGAAACCACATTGACAGTCACCAAGTATTTGTTTAAAGTACTGCTGCAGTCTTTTTGCTATTATTTTGGTCAGTATTTCGTATATTACATTTAATAGGGAAAATCCTAATGTGTGAATTTGTGTAGATTTTGCATTGAAGTTTTGAACCTTTCTTGTGTGTTGGGGTTATTAGTGCTGTTGCCCACTATGTTGGAATCTTGCCAGATTTTAGCTGTAAGTTTATATGCCAAGTATACAGTTCTCTTCCCCCAAAGGGCTGCGGTGATAAGGACTTCTTCATTGGCTTTGCGATTATTTATAAAATTGATTACTTCTGTTGTTTCTTCCAGAGTTGAGGAGATCATTAAGGTGTACGGGTATGTATATTTGATGCACACAAACGGTGTGTTTAGTCTGGTATTGTTGATGACCACAAGTGTTTAGTCTGGTATTGTTGATGCACACAAGCAGTGTGTTTAGTCTGGTATTGTTGATGACCACAAGTGTTTAGTCTGGTATTGTTGATGCACACAAGCAGTGTGTTTAGTCTGGTATTGTTGATGACCACACGTGTTTAGTCTGGTATTATTGATGCACACAAGCAGTGTGTTTAGTCTGGTATTTTTTATGCACACAAGCGGTGTGTTTATTCTGATGAGTAAAAAAAAATATTTTTTTTTAATGAAAATCCACTTTATCTGTAGCATTAGTTAGAGTATATAGGCCTACCCGTTTCACCTGTGCATATAGGCCAACATAGTTTGCCTGAGTATAGGGCCTACCCACTTGGTTCGCCTGAGTATAGGGCCTACCCACTTGGTTCGCCTGAGTATAGGGCCTACCCACTTGGCCTAAACAATGAATGATAAATCTCAATTTCTTTTTTTTTTTAAGTTCGATGTAAAGGGTTTTACCCCAAACATCTCTCGCGTTATGTCCCTGTGTCTTTGTTTGTGTGTCTTTGTATGTTTACCCTAAATCCGGCATAACGAAATTGTTATGTCAATTAATATAAATTTATTCCTGCAGTTTAATTTTTTAGTAAGATTGCATTGCCGTAGCCAGTCTAATTTCTAATTACATCACTTCGTTTTAGACACATACAAGGTGTTTACTAAATATAATAACTAAAGGGTGTGTATTTTTTTATAATATTTTCGCCTGTAAAATAATATTTAAATGTACGCTTCATAGTAAATAATACCAAGCAGTGCCAGCAACTAATTTTTATAAGAAAAACAAAATCAGCTTCAATTATATTTAAATGTTCCTATTCATCGCTCCAGTCAAACGAATTTCGTGGAAAAGTAAACTTGGGGTCCTAGAGTAATTTTTTTTTTAATATTCGGTTTCATGAAAATTATTCTTCAGGAAGACACAACTTCCTATTTTAATGTGCTAATATATCATAAGTTCGATTGGTGTGTCATTAGGCGTGTCAGCGCTGCTTAGCTAAGCAGACGATGGCTAGAGAATGGTTTCATTTCACTGGTTTATTTATTTTTGTCCTAGAACGATGGGAAGAGGATGATGGTTTCAGTTTGACCACAATTTACTCTCATCCTCAGACAATGGCTAGGGATTGGTTTCCGTTCAACACCGGCAAGCTGATCTATGTGACTGCCCTATGTTGGCTACCGTTCCCCTTAGCATCCTGCCTGTCGTGTATGACAAACTGTTCTTGTAGTCTGCAAAATGACGTTATTGTGGCAGTGAATTGTTCCGGAAAAGGTTGGACGTCATTTCCTGTAGATTTACCTGAAACGTTGAAATATCTTGACTTGTCTCTTAATAGGATTTCAAATCCGTGGACCGCTTCCCTATTTAGCCTTACAAATCTAATAAGTTTAAACCTAGCGTTCAATGGAGTCCAAACACTGCCTAGTTATATTTTAAAGACCCAGAGTGAGGATAATCTAAGGGGAAATACAAACCTCAATGTCATACGTAAGGCTTCAATCAAGAAAGCAGACACTAACATTAAAGATGGTCTCAAACATTTGGAAATTCTGAGTCTCCAAAACAACTTAATATCTAGGATCCACAACGTTGCCTTCCGCGGTTTCATAAACTTACAAACATTGGATCTGTCACAAAATCTGATTCAGCGCATTGACGTGAACGCTTTCAGTGGACTAAGACGTTTGAAGATGTTGAATCTTTACGATAATTTTATTGCACTGTACAACAACTCGCATGCTGACGAAATATTTGCTGACCTTCATAGCCTCAGAGAGCTGCACCTTCATGGTAACTTCGGGCACCAGACCAACCATCATCAGACTACTCCTTGCCATCAACCAAATCTACCAGATTATCCCGATGGGGCACTTTCAAGAATCGCATCCCTTGAAAAGATTTTTATGGACGGACTTCCGGCACCAGCTTATCCTGGAAAAGGATTTCGAAATCTAACTAAATTATCATTCGTGTACTTTGGGGCGTTAGCAGGGAGTAAATGCTTCATGGGGGAAATGCTGGAGAACTTCTTTTCAAATTTTGCAACCAGAAAACCACTGGAACTTGTGTTTGACTATTGCACGATTTCAAGGATCCACCCTGCAGCATTCGCCCGAGTTTCTTCTCTTCAAAACCTTAGCCTCATTTACAGTAGGCTTAACTTTGAAAATTTCACCGAGGCTTCCGCAAGCCTTAATCAAACTCACACAAAGAAACTTGATTTGTCAGGGACACACAGCGGGCCGGATAAATTTGTTCAGATCAGGTCGGAATGGTTCGTTCATCTAATGAACACTTCACTACAGATACTCATTTTAGATCATAATTCAATTATAGATTTCGAACCCAGATTTTTTACCATTCTCCCCAGGACGATTACGTCCCTTTCACTTGTTGATAACGCCATAATAACCCTGACTTTGCTCTACTCCATAAATTGGATGACAAGTCTTCAAATATTCGATGGAAGATCTCAGAATAATTACACGGCTGATCTTGGGTTTTCTTCTAATCAAACGGGACAAATTATCTCCAATAAAACATTTAATGGTGAAAAGAGAATAGAGCAACTAATTACCTTGAAAGTATTATATCATCTTCAAGAAAGTTATTGCCCGACTTACCGAGTACCGAGAACGTATTTCACGGGGGAGAGAGTGTTTAAGACGTCATCAAAAATGTCTGCAACCAAAAACTGGGAGAGTGGTTACATTTTTCCTGACTTAAATAGGACGCATAACACCACAGTCATGTTGCCTGAAAGTTTGACAGAGCTGCGCCTCGGCAATGTAAAGCTTGGCTACGCCGTTCCACGTATAAACATATGGCGCAGTGTCCTCTTGTACCTAGATCTGTCTAACAATTATCTGTGGTGCTTAGATGGTCCGTTGCTGGGCTTGAAGAAACTAAAGGTATTGGATTTATCCAAAAACGACTGCATTGCTTTGAGCCCGTACTTCTTTAGCGACATGCCAGAACTGAGGGCACTTTTATTACAATATAACACCATCGGGCCGTCCCTAGAAGCTGATAAAGACGGCGAGACGTTTTCAAAACTTCTCCGTCTCGAATATATTGATGTCTCTCATAATGCTATTCGTACTCTCCACCCTAAAGTGTTTAAGCAATCAGCAAATCTACAAACGATTCTGCTAAACAATAATGCCCTACAGGTCTTTGACATCGACGTTGGAAGCTTGAACAAATTAACTCTGGTCGACCTCTCCGCCAACGCTCTTGTGACGCTGCCCAAGCGAATGATGACGTCACTCGACACGCTTGCGCTAAGTAGCCCTAATTTAACACTCGATCTCCATGACAACGATCTTCTATGTGACTGCTCCAATACTGATCTTATCACGTGGTACATTAAAACGAAAATCAATTTCAGAAGAAAGGAATTGTACAAGTGTCGCTATGTGAATGGTTCTGTGATCTACACGGAGGACCTCATCAACGTCCAGGAGATAACATGGCGATATTGCGCTGGACAGCAGATTTTGGTTCCAGTTCTAACCAGTTTTCTCACGACTCTTGTCATCTTGACCGCCCTGGGCTTCTATAGTTACTTCCGGGTCAGACTATTATTTTACATCTACATCAGCAAAGCGCGGTATTTCCGCAACTTCTATGACCAAGATCAGGCAAGGGTCAAGGACGTCTTTCTCGTGTACGACGACCAGGAAATAAGATGGCGGCAGTTTGCTATTAAAGTTGTGAAACCGGAACTTGAATGCAGGGGCGTCTCAGTTTACATTAGTGAAGTTGACGCACTGGCAGGGAGGCCGCTTCGAACGACTATTGAAGAGTCTGTTCTAGCCGGTAAGTAAATAATTATGTCTGCTTTTAACTTAGAATCAACGATTTTAAAAATTACAAATGTCTGACATGGATTATGTGCGTATCCTTCCAATATCTTCTCAAACTGTGCAAAAGCATTGAACATTTAAAATACATTTTTTTAAAAATGATAGATAGTTATCTGACATAACCAGAGAAAAGCATTTGTTCACTTGTTAAAAGTGTCCGATAGTGAAATAATAGAACCTTTTCTCAATCATAACCGAGGCAAACCACGATATTTTAAGCGTTTTCCAACACCATTTAGATTTTCTGAAACGCTGCTTTGGCCTCAAAAAACCCTGAGAAGACGGTCTCAGAAAATATGGTAAAGTGCTACATATATCTATTACTAAAATTATTGCCGGAATCAACGGGAAATCTGTTAAAGGGTAAATGTTGAGCGCTGTAAATCTACTACTAAAGGCCCTTGCCCGTGTCATAATAACACGTTTACAGAGTCTAGCCTCCCGTGTCTATCCAGAATCTCAGTGCGGTTTCCGGTCTGGGCGGTCTACCATAGACATGGTGTTCTCCATACGACAGCTCCAGGAAAAATGCAGAGAGCAGCAGATGCCACTGTACATTGCCTTTGTGGACCTTACAAAAGCCTTTGATTACGTCAGTCGCAACGAGCTATTCAAAATACTGGCAAAAATCGGCTGTCCCCCTCACCTACTTACCATCATCAGAGAGTTCCATGTAAATATGCAGGGTACAGTGCAGTTCGATGGAGCCAAGTCAGAAGCCTTTCCAGTCAGGAGCGGAGTTAAACAAGGTTGTATACTCACACCAACACTATTCGTAATATTCTTCTCTGTACTACTTCGATACGCATTCAAAGATAGCAGTGAGGGAATCTGGTTACACACCAGAGCTGATGGAGGACTTTTCAACACTGCCTGCCTCTGAGCCAAGACCAAAACGACAGATGTCCTAATTCGCGAGCTACTATTTGCGGATGATGCGGCACTAACAGCACACACAGAAATTTGGTTTGCAACAACTCGTGTCAAGCTTCTCCAATGCCTGCAAAGAATTGGGTCTGCAAATCAGCTTGAAAAAGACAAACATCATGGCCCAAGACACTCGACCTCCACCTAACATAAAAATCGATAACGAAAACTTGGAGGTTGTGGACAGCTTCACCTACTTGGGGTCCAAGGTCTCCAACACACTGTCCATTGAAGAAGAAATTAACAGCAGAATCGGCAAGGCAGCTGCCACAATGGCTAAACTAAATAAACGGGTCTGGCAAAACACCAAGCTAACGGAGAAAACCAAACTGTGCGTCTATCGAGCTTGTGTCATCAGTACACTACTATACGGGAGCGAGACATGGACCACCTATACATCCCAAGAGCGCAAGCTTAATAGCTTCCATATGAGATGCCTGCGTCGCATCCTTGGTATTAAATGGCAAGAAAAAGTGACTAATAGTGAGGTCCTAATGCGTGCGAATACCCAAAGCATGTTCACAATCCTTAGTGAAAGACGCCTGAGATGGCTAGGTCATGTTAAAAGAATGAGTCCCGGCCGCATTCCGAAAGACCTCCTATATGGTGAACTTGCTTCTGGAAAGAGGAAAACAGGTCGCCCACGTCTGCGATTTAAAGATGTCTGTCACAGGGACATGAAAGCAGCCAAAATAAATACAAGTGACTGGGAGTGTAAGGCAAAAGACCGATCTACGTGGCGCACAGTTGTCAAAGAGGGCGTCATGGTAGCCGAGGAGAGAAGAATGGAAGAGGCTGCAGACAGAAGAGCTAGGAGAAAGGCCAAAACATTTGGAAGCACGGAACTCGTGTGTAAAAACTGTGGTAAAGACTGTCACTCAAGGATAGGACTGCACAGCCACTCAAGAAAATGCAACCCAACCCAACGGTGATGCACCATCGTCTCACGAGACGGAAGGATGCCGACATGTAAATCTACTAGTCAAAAGATTCTTTAGCGCTGTAAATCTACTAGTTAACTAGTCGAAACTAGACGACCATGCAGCAGAAGCTCTTTGCATAGCGAACCTCAGCTTTGTGCAAGCCAGGGGGGAAATGGCGTTAAAACTGCGGCTGAGGATCCAGTGATGGATTGGTTGATGGAGATATCTTATCCGATCAACGTCCCGTTTAATTTATTGGATTTCATCACTTTTCTAGCAACCCTTGAGCCCTAAATGAAATTACGGAAAGAACGCAGGAAGAGGTCCGTCCTACCGTCCAGTCAAACAGTAATTTAAAAAATTTCTTATTAAAACAATTAATAAAGTGTTTCGCTTTTTTTGTTTTAAAGAGAAGAGTTGCTTTCGTTGTAATAATCAGTGCAAGTCTTGATAATGAACTTAGTGCACTTACTTAATGTGCATTAGTGTAACGCTCAAATTTTATACTCATACATGAGATTTTGGCTATAGTGTGTGCCTCCGGGTGGGCGTAAAGAGAATAAGAATGGTAATGAAAGAGGGGGGGGGAGAAAGAGGTAAATAAGAAAGAGAGAGCGAAAGAAACAGAAAGAGAGAAAGATAAAGAAAAAGAGAGCGAAAAAGATAAAGAGAGAGGAAAGTAAGAGAGAAAGAGAGAGAGAGAGAGAGAGAGAGAGAGAGAGAGAGAGAGAGAGAGAGAGAGGGAGAGAAAAAGATAGAGAGAGAGAGACAGCAAGAGAAAACGACAGAGAAAGCGACAGAGAAGGGGATAGGGAGACATATAAATTAAGTATGCATACACAACAAAGAAAAAGAAAGAGAGAAAGAAAAAGAAAAAGAGAGAGAAAAAGAAAAAGAGAGAGGAAAGAAAGAGAGAAAGAGAGAGAGAGAGAGAGAGAGAGAGAGAGAGAGAGAGAGAGAGAGAGAGAGAGGGAGAGAAAAAGATAGAGTGAGAAAGACAGCAAGAGAAAACGACAGAGAAAGCGACAGAGAAGGGGATAGGGAGACATATAAATTAAGTATGCATACACAACATAAAATGATGTTTTAAACAATCGGAAAGAGTTGTTTCTTTTTCAATTAATATTCTGATAAAAATATATAATGCACTGGCCCGTTCGTTTCTTTGATAGCTCCCATGCTAAAGTAGTTGTCTTCATTCTCAGCTCGAAAGACGCTCGTTCTGTTGACACCGGAACTGTTCATGTGTGAAGAGAGGGAGTTGGAGATTGGCATGGCCATCATATCCGAGGAGCTACGCTGTGCGAACGTGCTGGTATTTCTGCTGGTGGAAGCAGTGCCTGAAGGATCCATTCCATTGCATATTGATCGTGTGCTAAAAGAGAGAGGACATTTTGAATACAGGCCAAATCATGCAGTCTTTTGGGACGACCTTTCTAAAGCACTTAGATACTGACACGTGCGTCAACCCCTCATCTGTGCCACACAGGCCTTTTAATAATTGGTTTAAACAAGGCATTAATAATTCATGATAACATTAAAATTGAGCTTAAATTATACTTTCAATACATTGTAATAACTAATTTCATAAGCAATGTCAGTGGCTTTAAAATTTCCAATTCAATTTACTGTTTAAAATTGCTAAAAATCAAAACCTATATAGGCCTTTATGATGGTCTAAGTGCGTGTTAAGTTAAATTGAATTTGATATGCAAACATATTGAGACACTTAATGTTTACATAATGGTTCATTAAATAAATCCAACAAATTGTATTTTCATTAGAATTACCACTAGGCCTATAGTTAATCGGATACATATGCCTTTCACTGCATCATGGTTTAGATAGAGGAAGAGCAACTAAATATAAAGAGCATATGACAAGAAGACGAAAATTATTATAAATACAATGACGTAGTTGGTATAGTTACGTAATTAAATATTCAACACTAAACATCCAATTGATAATCAACATTTTAAAATTATTTTTTAAAAGAATTTTTTACCTATTTGAAATGTATACGGTACTTTGAAATATATTTACATTTGTATCAAATAGAAGGCCTATTTTAATAAAAGTTACATGTTTACAAATTAGTTAACCAAACATTATCACTGCTCTAAAACGAATGAATTTCACACAATTTTATTGTCATGATCAGTAGCCAAGCTAATTTTTAAAAAAATTCTTGTAAGTTGTCAAACATATTTGGTTTACAGTATAATCAAAATACAGTTATATAAGGTGAGCACATTTTATGGGCTTAACCTGGGACCGGGGCTGCCTTGGGGAAACTGACTAAATGAGGGGAGATATGGTCCGGGCGTAAGGGAGAAATGGACCAACCGTGGCGAGATATGGACCAAACGTAGGTGAGAAATTGACTAAATGACCGAGAAAAGGACCATGATAGAATCTAATCAATTAAATGGTAAATTTGAAAAAGAAACAATAAAACACACACCAAAAAAAAACAAAACAAAAAAACAACAACAGCACACACTTAGGTTCTTTGTTGTTGGTTTATTTAACGAAATAGCTCAGCATAAACTACTTTTAAAAATTAATTTCAGTCCATTTGTAGTATTGTATTATGGGCATGTGAAAGATGGTGACCGGCGGACGATGAGCAGGGATTGCGAACGTCCTTACATTTACGGACAGTATGTAAATATATATATATAACATTACTTATCCGTAAATGTAAGCAGGAATTTCAGGATGTCCGTAAAAAAAAAAAAAAAAAATGAGACACCTTGGGAAATCTTTTGAGGCGAAACTAAATGGAATACCTCAGCGTTTGTGATTTCTTCTGTCTTGATTTAAGAGAGGAGAGTGGGGGGGGGCGCCTTAATATGTTTATTGCCAAAGTGATACTCATGTTGAACTTGTGGGAGTTCTCAACGGGCGGCATGTAGTCAAAGTCCGCCAACGGGTGTTACGAAATGTGTTAAAACGAATAGTGTCTGTCTTGGGAGGGAGGGGTGGGGTCGGGGCTGCTACACATACTATCATACTTCGCCCTTGAATCTATTATCTAAGAAATATCTTTATTGTATTTTACCAAAAAACTCTGAAGGACTAAGATGCTGTTATAGTTATTAGTATATTATTGACGGTAGATTCTAACACCTCTCTCTTCACAAGAAATAGGTTTGGGTGCCACAGGTTTCAAGCTGAATATTTAGCCGAGGATAAGATTAAAGAGGCCTCAAATTTAGGGGAGAGCAGGGTGGGTGGTCACACTTTAAAAAAAAATTTTTGCAAGGCATTAGAATTGAATTTTGATCCAGTAGGTAGTGCTTAGTTTTGACAAGAAAAGGATTGTCAAATTTATTTGCATCTTAGATTTTAAGAAAAGTAAGGCATTTTAAAATGTTGGACGAGTGTCACATTAGAAAGCAGACAAAGTACATTTTTTACAACCTATATCTTTTTTAATAATAAAGTTAGAACTTTCAAATTGTTTGTACAAACAGTCAGCAGGCCCTAATGTATAAAACAAACTATAAAAAAAATCAGAGTTGAAAATTTGATAAGCAGCAAACATTTATTGATCCAAAAGTGAACCGATGCACAATTTTAAAAAGCACAGATTAATTTGTTAAACTACATAAATTATTTAACTGCCTATCTAATGTAGTAATCTAAATGTTAAATTTGAAATTATAGTTGAAAGCAATGTTCCCTCTCAGGTTTGTTGGTTCGTGTGCAAAATCATACAGTTGTGTGCAAAGTTTTACGGCATCAATCTTTTTTGTGTGCAAAATTATACAGCCCACAAATAAATACAAACACACTTACATGGAAATTTGCTTCGCGGATACTCAAAACTGCTGCGCGGCGTCTGTGAGATAGCTGCGCGGCCGCGCAGCCGCGCAGCTTAAATGGAACATTGGTTGAAAGGGATTGCTTTTTACACTGGGGCACTAAAAAGGGAGTGGGGCAGGGGTGGGTGGGGGCAACTATCTGTTTCCAGAATCTTGTTTTAAGCTGGTTATTGGTTATTAAGAATTATTCCAACCTGCTCCGCACAGCCAGGTTAGGTTGACATTATATTTGATAAGTTCGAAAGCGTCAGTTGAATGTTTTGATATTTTACAAGTTCGTAACTGGCAGTTGTAAGAGTATCAGTTTGTAGAACTGCTAAGGCAACTGATCTATTTGTATTCCACAGTTTAGTAACAGAGGTCGGTGAACAGGGATAAAATTAACCCTAATGCGAAAGGGGGGGAGGGCAAGTGGCTAATGAGAGCACAATAGACATACAGAGTGAGGGTGGCCCTAAAAATGTGATAACATTGCTTTATTGCCAGAAGTATACAAAAGGTGCTAACGCTTACAATAAGTTGTTGAGAAGTAGGCAGAGTTGGAGGGGGGGGGAGATGGATTTCACATGGTTTCTGAATAGCGTAATAATTTTCATACAACAACTGTCAATGACAAAACATTATATTAACTCAATCATATGACCCTTTGTTACGAGATGTTCTCACTTTTTCTGGGCCACTCTGTATATAAGTGTTGGTTAACAATGTGATGTTGAACACCAACTTGGAGTCCAAGTGTAAAATATTATATTAATAGATAGTTAGCCTATATTTAAACCCATATAGCCTACAATCTTTTTAAAGGACTTTTCCTCGCAAAGCTGATGAATGCGTGGCTGTGGAAAGTAATATTAATTGGGAATAATTTGGAAACGCACACACAAAAACAACATGGTGACACTCCAAAAAAAGTTGAGAGAGGACAAGTTCAAAGTTCAAAAGTCATTCAAGATGGCAGCCTCCGGCTATGCTTTGAAATGTTCTCGGCCGATCACATCTATAGGAATACGCTCACCTATTTTGGTTTCTAGTTCACGATTTTATAGTCAACAATCGGAACAGCAGCAAAGTCCAGAAGATGAACTACACTTGAACTACCTAGATGGAGATCAGAAAGGTAAATTAAAGGCTTTCCACTGTCTCACTCACCCTCTGTCTGATGTCTCTCTGTCCTCGGTTACCATACTGCCACTGCATCCTCAGTCTCTCAGCTCTTTTTTAAATTCGAGTGTATGGAGTTGTAATTTTGTTGTAGATTTTCCCCCTTTCAAAATCACCCCCCCCCTACACACACACATTCGCACACATAAACGCTTTAAAATCTTATTTATATTATATATCTATAATAGGCCTATATATAATATATATATATTATATATATATATATAATTCGATCACAGTTTTAAAAATTAAATACAAAGCCAAAAAGTGGGAAAAAATAAATCACTAAAAAATTCATAACTTTTCTTCTATAAGTGATAGAAAGATTATCTTGGTATCAATGGAAAGCTTAAAGTCAGCTCTTTCCAATGATCAATGATATGCTTCTTGTGTATGTCAGATGTATCTGAAATTTGGAGTTGGAGTACCTAATATTATATTTATATGTTCAAATATTTCCCTCAACACTCAGAAATTTTAAAAAATACTTGGCAAAAAAATATTACCATACAGTTAGAGTTACTGGAACTTCATTCTCATTTGTTCCTGCAAGACTTGAGCCCTGAGTCTGAGCACAATAAAAATAAAAGAACTCCTTTTGTTTAATCTTGCTGGTATTAAATGAATTTTTTTAAAATACTTGTTTTAACAAGAGTATAACATTAATTTTATGAGTACCGGTTGGGCTAAGGCCAAAGAGTTAATGACTGGCTAAGAACATGATTTTGCTACATATTCCACTGTGGCGTATTTTGTAACATTAATTGTAGGGCCTGTTTCACAATTTATTTTTAATTTTACATTAGCATACCAAAAAATATAAATTCTTTACAAATAACCTGGGTCCCTAGTCATAGTCCTCGGATGATATAAACTATAATAACTATTTGAAAAGTACTTCACTATTTTCAATTATTGATGCTATTTTCATTTAACTCTGCAGGTATTGCTGTCATTTCTATGAGACGATTCCGTTATAAAAATGCTATGGGGAAAAATATTATTCAGAGAGTAAGTATCTTTCTTTATAAAGTTAATGATCATGGCATATCAAGATGGGACAAGTAAGATAAATAGCATAGTAAAAAGTCAATTGAACAAATTATTTATTGTTATTTCAGCTTATTGATTCACTGCAAGAGCTTAAGTTTCAAAACAACATCAGGGTCACTGTGGTTCGAAGTGAAGTTCCGGGGGTGTTTTGTGCAGGTAATTTTACTTGTTCAAATGACCCTGTTGAGTTAACACTTTAATTAGTGCTCTTATTCCTTATTTCTTACATTTTAATATGACATCTTAGCTGTACGGAACTATTCAAATGAAATTAGATATCAGGATCTCTACAAGAAATTAGAGATCAGGATTTCTTCAAACATCTCTGTGGTTTTAGAAATCCATTTTGCATGAACTGCTCCATCTTATTATTATATTGGCTTTTGTATTTTTATGAATAAGAACATTTGTAACTGCCTCAGAAACTGTCTTATTAATGAATCATATTAAAATAGTTTTTCATGCATTTTTGTATTTATAGGCTTCTTAGATGCAAATGCTCAGATGGGTCTTTGTATTTTGAGTTATGCTTTTAATCATGATTTAATTAGTCTTTATTCCGAATATTTAATACTTATGCATTCATAGGGGCTGACCTCAAAGAGCGTCTTCAAATGACTAACCAGGAAGTTGGTTTATTTGTGGCTAAGCTGCGTCACTTTGTCTCAGAGCTCCATAACCTACCAATGCCAACAATAGCTGCAATAGATGGTGCAGCTCTTGGGGGTGGCCTAGAGATGGCTCTAGGATGTGACATGCGTGTAGCAGGTAATGCATTCTATCAGTTAAATATCCCTGATAAAAATCATTCATCTAACTCTAAAAATAAATTTCTAGAATGTTACTAATATAACAATGTGAAATCAAATGATTATATTATATTTACATCACTAGGTTACAAACTGCCTTAAAATATCTCTAATGGAAATAGCATGATGCACTCAAATTTAAATAATGTTTTTATCATTTAATTTTTATCATACAAGTAAGCCATACATGTTGGTACTATAAACTAATTAAATTTCTATTCACAGCCAGCAGTGCTAAAATAGGCTTGGTAGAGACCAGTCTTGCCATCATCCCTGGAGCTGGTGGAACTCAGCGACTACCACGAATAATTGGGCCATCTCTGGCTAAGGAACTAATCTTTACAAGTCGAGTTCTTGATGGATGGCAGGCTAAAGAGAATGGTGTAGTCAACCATTGTGTGGAGCAAAATAATGATGGTGATGCTGCATATCATAGAGCTATTAAACTGGCAGAAGAGATTTTACCACAGGTATATAATTTCTTTTTACATTTTCTTTTATAATCATACAAGAAAATATTAATAAATACCTGGTACTCAACCATTTTATAAATTTTAATATGTTCTTAAACTTATAAAACAATAGACTGGACATAAAGCAGTTACCAGTACTATTAAAGTTTTTTAAAAGATACGTGTAACTATTTTTTAAACTTATTCTTGTAGAAACATTTCCAGATAACTTTGAATTGTTTGGTTGTTGTTTTTTTTGTTTGTCGTTTGTAGAAAAATGAGACTCTACATTAGTAATGTAAAGTAAAATGTACTGGAAACATTTGAATACATCTTGTTTCAAATTTATTATTTCATAGGGACCCATTGCATTAAGGATGGCAAAAGCTGCAGTGAATAGAGGAATTGAGGTGAGTTAAGCTTTTTTCTTATATGCTATAATTGATTTGTAAAAAATAAAAGTCATTAATGTATAAAAGAAAAAATACACATTCATTTTTCTTGTACATATTAATGGGCTTTCTTTTTTTTTTTCACTTCAGCATAATATTCCTTAAATTTGAGTACCAATACATATCATATATATAATAGCATTTTTAGTGTTGTATCTTGTAATTCTATTTGGTATTTCATATTAATATTTAAAAGAAGATTTTTTAAAAATGCAACATAACAAAGTAAATGGGCTGTAAATTGTTTTATCTGTTGAAGTATTTTACATAGTCTTTTTATAAGGTATTTTATGCTAGTCGTCCCACTGCTTATACAAATAGGTATTTACTATATCACAGGTGGAAATAGATGCAGGAATGAGATATGAAGAGGCATACTATGCCCAGGTATGTATTGCTATTAAGTTAGTATTGAAAATTAATATCATGCAGTATTGGTATATATTTCTCACCAAAATTTAAACTGATACATAAAGCACAATTTAGTGAGTTTATTATTGACATTTAAAAGTATGTTAAATAATACTCCATACAAAACATTTTTTTAACCTTTCGTTTCTTTTAACCAGATCATTCCAACAAAGGACAGAATTGAAGGTCTTCTAGCTTTTAAAGAAAAGAGACGACCCAAATACGAGGGACATTAAATTGTCTTTTGCATTCTGTCCTTTTATTCAGACATAAAGTTAGGATTAACTGACAGTGCAACTCCTTACCTTCAGCCCAAATATGCACGTCCGATATCTGCCGAAAAGGTCTTATTGGGCAATACTTTATGATAAAGCATTTAAAAATTGTAATCAAATTCCTTTTTTTAGGTATTAAGATTTACTATGATTCTTGTTAATGATAAAAAAATTTCTATAGCTTTCCACACCTGCTTTGAAGTTTTTCTGTGTACATTAGTCAGACACTCTCTCTCTGAAAAGTCTTAGTGAGTCAGTGAAGATATCATAATACCAAGGTGGTTCCCGTCGCTCATGATAGTTGTCTGAGGGCTTATAACTAACTGGTATCACTGATACTATCAATCATGGGCATCGAGTTTATGTCTGTATGTTTTGTCTTCTACTGCTATTTTAATTCACAGTTCAAATCTCCTAACACTGTTATAATGCACTTTGGGGATTATTTTACTGGCCATTGATAATACTAAAAAAATAGGTGCTATTTTAAGGATGGTTTCAGCACAGCCTAAAGCTGTATAGCACCGGAATACCTTAAAGAATAGATTTCTAAACACGTATCCTTAAAGAACCTGCGGTCTTCAACACAGTCCTTACTGAGAGTTCCCAGTTTGGATTGGCACAGAAAAAAAGTCTTACAGAGTGCGCTCTTTTGAAGCGATAGCACCAAAATTATGGAACAGTTTGCCCCAATCCTTGAGGGACATTGACAATGATAAAAAATCTTTTAAGAAACATTTAAAGACTTTTTTTGTTTGAATAGCTTCAAGAACATCAGAGCGCTTTGACTTTGAGCATGCTATAGTAGTATGGATACAAGCGTTATATAAATATTCAATCAATTCATAACACTATTCAAGAAGTATCCCCATCAGAGTGTCATCATTTCCATTTGCTTGCATCACCTTCTGACACAACTGTTGAAGCTTTTAGTGTGTTGTTGAGGTGTGCCCTTTTGCTTAGTTGTTAACTAGAATAAGAATACGGACCAAAAAATCAGTTTTCCTAAAGGCTGTGAACTTTTACTTGTTAAGGAATACCGTGGCACTAGATCATCTTATTTCAGATATTGCAGAGATAGAAGTCAATAAGTTTTGCAGTGGAATAGTAACTTCATTTCAATGCATATCTAATAATTTATGTGAACTGATATTATGTTAGTCTTTTTTTATTTTTTCATATATGAATGTTATGTCATACTATATTATAATTATTCAGAAAGTTATTGTATGTAAAAACTTTAAATACTTAATACTGTTTTTATGTTAATAAAATATCATATATTTATGACTTTTTGCATTTAAAGGGTGTTTTATTTTAACAAAACCTTTATTTTTATTTCCAGATGAATGTACATTAATTCAAATTTACAGCTTATTAAAAATGAAATTCATGTTGCAAATGTTATTGGAAGAATTTTTTAAAATAAAAGTGTTGCTAATATTAATATACCTTTGTAAAATTGCTTCTTCTTCCAAATATAACTGAATAGAAATTACACATTTAAAATTGTGTTTTTAAACAATAAAAATATTGATACAACTACAATTAAATTATTAAATAATACCATATAAGAAATTGAACACCTCAAGTTAATTTAAAAATGCAGGGAGAGAAACTACAGCCATCACCAAATCAGAATGATTTCAGAATGTATATACCTAAGATGTAAACATAAATAACAAATTGCATTTTTGATCATTAAATACCTTATTTACACTGATATATTTTTTCAGAACACACATAAGTAAAACAATGCATTGGAGTCATGAGAGATGTATGCTTTTATTCACACGTGCTAAATATTTAGTAAGATATTCAAAAGCTAATTGAATTTAGTACTTCAAATACACATAGAAATGTGACTAGCGGCATTAGTACATACCTGCAGTGAGATGCAAAACATGAATAAATAAAACTTTAAAAATAGAGCAGATTTTTTATGAAGTCAGAACTGTTTCTTTCATGCAAGGAGAAGCCAGTCAATTATTGAAAATATTGTCTGATCTATCAAGACAAATACATGAAGTTTAATTTGTTAATGTTTACAACACAGCTATATGTACTTATACCAGACCCTACAATTTTACAATTTTATTACTAAAATAACTGCTTAATACATCAGTGTAGTAATCTGGAATTTGCTAAATTTTACACATCAATAATAGAAAATTGTTCGCTCCATCCCTATATTAGGTACACAAAAAAAATCAAATTTACCATTTCTCTTCTTTCTCCACCCCTTCCCGCGCAAACGTTTCCAACCCTAAACCAACTGTTTTTATTTATTTATAGTAAATTATCACGTACATCAAAAATCGAAAGAAATCCCTGTCAAACGTGTTTTAAACATGTGTCACGGGTGTTCCACACTATCTGTTAGGCGTAGCACTGTGGTCCCCCACCCGTGCGCATTTGAGGGTTGTTGATTCCTCCCAATGGTGCTGCGAAATATTACACGATTCTTTAAAATGTTATTTCCACTTTCAATCTAGTGTGACCGGACAAGACATCCAGCGGACCTGGTGCAAGCATCAAACTCACTTCAGTAAAAATTAATGTTTGCAAAAGCTCATATAAATAGTTACTAAATAGTGCTTAGAGTCGTACATAAATAATTTATTTAATTTTACCCAACAATTCAATTTTAACAAATATATCGCTATTTCAAAGTGTACTTTGACTTTCGGGAAATCCTCGCATAGCCAAAATAAAATAATTAAGTCACATGCATGGGACCATAAAAGGCGAACGGTAGACCAAATATTGTCACTTTTGCGATGTCTGTCTAGCCAGTTCACCAATTGTGAACACACAAACCAACAGTATGAAGACAAGTACATATCATTGGTGTGATATTTTTATCGCCTTCAAAAAAATTTAGAAATCATGGATTTCACAGGTTTTTGTGTGACAGCTGGCTCCAGATGGCCATCCAAAATTGCCAAAATGACGTCACACTATTTTGGCTGATTTTTTTACCACCCCACAATCTTAAAAATTGTAACATAAATTAGACAGTTTATCACACATGTGCACATTTAAAAAATTCTTAACATCCATCCCCTTTTAAACGCTTGACGTTGTTTATGAATAGCCGCTTACTTACATTAAATAAAGATATAAAAATAGGCGTAGGTTATTAATAAAGTATTAATGGAATGCCAGATTCTGATTCTGATAGACTACGTTGCTGCAACCAAGAAGTGGCATATGTACAATATGCACGTACAATACTCACCCCACCTCCCTTTTGCAACATTAAATTTTATTTTTTTAAATATATACATAAGCAATTTTTCTTATGTTGAACTTGAACACAAATTCCCAGAGACTCATACAGGCATTTTATTTTAGATTTATTTTGCTTAAGTGTTGTGTATCGGTATTTATAATGACTTTGCAGTAGATTTTAAGATGGCGTCTACTTTCCATTTCACAAAAGAAACACCACCAGATTCGATGTTTAGTGATTTTCAAGCACTTAATAAATTTCAAAATGAGGTTTGTCATGTTGAAATATATTCATGTATACTATTCATTTGATTATTCTTATATCCATAGCTTATTTATTACCAGTGTTATGTTTGAAACCAAATAAAGTAAAAAGGGGGCGTCGCCCGATTAAGACCTGGTCCTAGACCTGCCTTGTAGTTAGTAGTAGTGCTACTACGTCTACTGTCTATCACTCATCATCATACTAACTATTCATACTGTCTCTGAAGGCACCAAGACTGCTTCATAAGTAACCGGTGTCTTTTTACTTTAGGACATTGCTTGGCTTCGTTTTCATTTTCTACGCCTCCAGACTTCAGGAGTCAGTGTAGACACTCAAACTTTGTAATAAACTTAGGGGCCATGCATAAATATCGTCACACTGTTTAAATTTACTTTTAGGCACACCACTCCCCCCCCCCAATTAAAAAAATGTAAAAAAAAATTATAAAATTAAACTTTTTAGTTTAAAAATTTTTTCCCCCCTCCTCCTTATTTTTTCCCCCCCCCCCCCCACCCACTTTTCTGACAGGTGACGTCTATATGAGACCTTCTTATAAAATATGTTTTTTGGGGCCTTTACTGTCTTTAATTTCACTAAATAAGTTAAATTTGGATAATATGATACACTCTATAATAGGGTGACCAAATCATGAAAAGGATGGTCGGGGAGGGGGGGTAGTCACTTGTCATTATGTCCTTTGTCGTTTTGTCACTTGTCGTTTGGTCTTATTACCGTGGTCACCCTTCCGCCGTAAACTGTTTATTGAAATATGCTCATTTTAACTATTTTGAGATGTCGAAATCTTTTTAACGTTACCTTTTTTATTTTAATTTAAACTCTGAGGCATATCATAAACGAAGACAATAATTTTGCTGTGAATACTTATTTATTTATACATATGTTACTTGAAGTTATATTATCTATTAGGAAGTTTTAGTGATTTGAAAGTGTGTTTGGTTTTAGAAACAGGACATTTAGGCATCCCAAGAAACTTTTTTGGGACACGGGTACGAGCCTGAAAAATTGGGACACACCCATTTTTACGGGACGTTTGGTCACCCTACTCTATTTAGTATTTAGTCTATAAGCATTTAGTACTCCATGCTATGCCATTTATCACATTTGGGGAGAGTGTGTTTCTGTTAACTAAATAGAGAAGAGTTCACTGTACTGTGTAATTCAAATAGTCCAAAAATAATTAACAGCTAATACTGAAACTTATAGATTGGATATTATTTTATTTTAATCAAATTAAGATAGAACATTCAAATGAATGAAAATGATGAGCTATGACAAGAGTTTGAAAATAAAATTTTCAGAATTTCAAATGCCAAAAATTACAATGTAGCTACATGAACCCCAAGGGGTCGTCCATTAATTATGTCAACAAAATAGGTAAGGGGGGTTTGAAATGTTTGACAGATGTTGACAAGGGGGAGGGGGGGTTTGGTTAGTTCACACCAACAATCTTGTTTTCTCTATTAAAATTTGTATCTAAAAACTGACTGGTTATTACAATATTTTAACAAGTTTAATGAGTGTAAATTAAAATATTTATATAATTTTTAGGTTATATAAAGTTTATATGTTGATTAACAAGCTAAAGATGCAATAAAATGTTTTTACTACAATTTTGTTTTATTAAAATAGATGAGCACAAAGTAAAATGTATTTATATTATAATTCATTTTTTGGGTTGAGGGATTATAGAAATGTTGACGTAATTACTTAGGGGGTGTCATTGAACGTTTGACAGTTGTTGACAAGGTGGTAGGGGTAAAAAATTGCTTAAAAATTGTTGACATAGTTAATGGACACCCCCCCCCCACCCCCCCCCATCAGTTGGTAGGTGAGAGCAGCTAATGTGACACAACTTCCAGATTACACATTTATCCACAGTTTTACTCACACACATTCAGGGGTCATTGAACGTTTGACAGTTGTTGACAAGGTGGTAGGGGTAAAAAATTGCTTAAAAATTGTTGACATAGTTAATGGACACCCCCCCCCCACCCCCCCCATCAGTTGGTAGGTGAGAGCAGCTAATGTGACACAACTTCCAGATTACACATTTATCCACAGTTTTACTCACACACATTCTACTTTTCTCTGATATAAATTATAAAACAATAATATAAACAGAAAGTGTACAATGATGTCACTTTATTAAACATTGCTAATTAACCATCTTGAGACGGAGCCTTTTTGGACTGTCAGTGCCTAGAAGATGGAGCCAGTTTGACAAGCCCTGCCCTTAATTTGCAAAAAAATGTACTATAAAAATATAAAACTATATATATTCTTGATAGGTATTGAATGAACATAATGGGATCGTTATGATTGTCACGAGCTCCTTCACGCTACGTAATGCTTGGGTCTAAGTTCTACCCTTTCTGACACCACCTTGTTTGTACAAAACAAGGAAACACAACAAACATACAATAACAAAGAAGTTTTCAATTATCTTAAAATAACCACTTCTAGTTTATTATCTACAATGTATAAATTATAAATGAATGAAATGAAACTCAATGTATACATCACAATGTATGAGATAATGTAATGTAACTTATATTTTAAAAATCACTAAGAAACTTATAAAGGTTGTCCTATAATCTCAATAATTCAAGCACATCTGCTGACAAAGCCTGCATGATACAGGCACTTTAGTTTACGACTCTGACACGCTACGGACTCTATTGGTGGAGTCTCATGGAACTGTCTAGCGTCTGTATGGACCATGCACGTTCGTCTCACTGCCAAGTGCTTGAGATGGTCGGTCTGCTAGCATCTACTGTCACGACAATTTATAGGGCGACTATTCCTGAAATATATGAATAAATCCCCTACACTAAGTAATCAATCCTAACTTCCAACTAGATACTCACCATCGTCTTCTAAATTACTACCGTCTACCTAACGTAACTCTCTATCACACAAACCACCCTACAGCTTCTTCAATCACACACCTCACATGCACTTACCTCTCTAGTAAACTGGCACAGGGTAAGTCCATGTCCAATACTTTCCCCTCTCCCTAATGTTCTTCAGAGTGTGGTAAGTGGCGTCTACCAAAACGTTGTTGTTGTGTGCCTAACAGCTTTATGTGGATGGTAACTCGGACAGTCCTCTACTACTTCTACGGACGGAGCTCTCCCTGACTGACCGCTACCCTGTTCGGCTGAGCTCTGCCCAGTCCTTTCCTACGGTCCCTATTTATAATTCGGGACCCCATGGATGTTCCCTCTCATGTCTGTAATCTGACTCCCAAATCTTCCAATACTTAAATTTGTGAACAATTGAAATGCTCCTAAATCCCCGAAGCGCAAAAGCGCAATGGTCCTTCCAGGGAAGTCTGATAAGCTAGTCCCTGGTCAGAGATGGGATTAGTGTACATTTTTTTATGAGGAATATTTCTTTGACTATGACATTATTAGTCAAGTAAATCCTCAACAAACTGTGATGTATAAACTAAAATGTCACCATTGCTGGTCAAGGGATGAGCCAAAAGTCACTGTCTTCAAAATGCTTGGTTAATGATGTGATTTCGGGGTTTGTACTGCATTGTTGATATTCGACGCCATTTTTGTTACCACTTCCTGTCTTACTTGAAGCGTAGCAAAACTCTATTGCTGTGTGTGCTCTCAGACTGAAACACACGGAGTGACTTGTGGTATGTTCAAATACAATATTACACTATATACAATTGTGGTAACGGCTCTGGTCAATAAATTGTTCATTTTTGATGCCGAGAGACCAGAAATAGGCCTTATATTTGACAATTTGGACTTCAGTAGGAAGACAGTTTTCCGCATAGCTGGTACTGCTCACTGTGTGTTTATAGACATTTTACATAGAGCATCCCGATCATGCTCTACTCAGAGGCCCTTAGGCCGTCAAAAACTGGTACTATTGTATCTGGCCTGCATCCTCCTGGCAAATTCGTACTCTCCTGAACCCAACCCTGGACCGAACGTTACTACTAGTGCTGGTTCTCCCTTGCATACCCCATCAAGTTCCAAATCCCAGTCATCATGGATCTGCGGAGCATGTGACCATGTTGTACATGTGGAGGACAGAGGCGTTGCCTGTGAACAATGTGGGCAATGGTTCCATCGTCAATGCCAAAGCATCGACACTTCTAATTACAACCAACATGCTAAAAATTCTGACGTGCCATGGCACTGTACTGTCTGCGGCAGCCAGATTAACCAGTCTGTGTTTGACCCACATAGTGCAGGGACAGACTCTACCTTCCCAGATTTCTCTCTGAACCACTCAATCTCCACACCAAGAGACATTCGAAGTTTTCAACCACCACACTGCTCTACTCCTATGCGCTGCAGTCAACAAGACAAATGGAGACACAGGCCATTGCGCATATTAAATGTAAACTTCCAGTCTGCAAGTGGTAAGCGAGTAGAGATAGCTAACCTAATTAACAGCCTAAAACCCGACATCATCTTGGGCTCAGAAACATGGCTGAATCCCTCCATAGCAAACGCAGAGGTTGTACCAGATATATACAAAGTATTTCGTCGAGACAGAAAAGACAGAGGAGGAGGAGTGCTTGTTGCAGTCCATCACAACTTGGACTGCCACGCTGTTCCAGAACTCGATGTTGACGACTGCGAGATCCTGTGGGTAAAATTGAAACTAAAGGGTAGACGCACACTCTACGTGTGTGCCTATTATCGACCAAATACAGCAGATGAACCAAGCCTGAGGAGGTTCGAGGTATCGCTTCACAGAGCAACACAGTCAAAAAACGCTTTTCTCCTTATAGGGGGGGATTTTAACTTTCCTGGTTGGAATTGGCAGATTCCTGCCTTGAAGCCCAAGTCCCCATACCCTGTTCTACACTCAGAATTCATGGAGATAATTAACAACCATGGTCTGGAACAGCTGGTTAAAGAACCCACGAGGGGGGAAAACACTCTTGACCTACTCCTCACCAATTGTCCACATCGTGTCCAAAAAGTTGAGGTCATCCCCGGGATTTCGGACCACAGCATTCCTTATTGTGAATTTCAGGTCAACACACTAAAAATGAAACAAATCATTCGAGAAATCCCAATTTATGCCAAGGCAGACTGGGATGGCCTAAGGATTGCAACCACAGAGCTAAGCTCAAACATGAAGGTGATTCAAGGTACAGCGACAACAGACGAGCTGTGGGTGAAGTTCAAGACTACAATCACTGATGCAGTGAAGAAATTTATACCACACCAAATCACCAAACCTAGGATAAATCAGCCATGGGTCACGGCTGAAATCCGTAGGCTCATCCACAGGAGAGACCGCCAATACAAACGCATGAAGAAAAATGGCTCGATGGAACTGAGAGAGGAGGTACTGAGACTCCGCCGAACCATTCAACGCTTATTGCGTAGATCGTATTGGAACTACATGAACGGCATCTTCTCAGAGGAAGACACCCCGACCAAAGATGTCAAGAACAAGCGCTTCTGGAGCTATGTGAAACACCAAAAGTCCTCAAACGCTGGAGTTTCCCCCTTGAGGTGGGATGGCCAATTGACATCTGACCCAAAAGCACAGGCGGAGATACTCAATCAGCAGTTCCAGTCGGTCTTTGGTGACGGTAGAGAGTACTCTGAGACTGAGTTCCTTCTGAAGACCAAAATGATGAACAGAGCCTATCCTATCATGGGAGATATCCAGATATCAGAACAAGGTGTGTTTGCCCTCCTCAATACCATTAACCCTTACAAAGCATGTGGTCCTGACAACATTAAACCACGAGTGCTCAAAGAATTAGCCAAAGAAATCGCTCCTGCACTGACAATCCTCTTCCAATCGTCACTATGCACAGGAAATGTTCCAGCAGACTGGAGAACAGCGCATGTCACTCCAATTTACAAGAAAGGGGAGCATTCCGACCCTGCCAACTATCGTCCGATATCCCTCACTAGCGTCGTCTGCAAATTGTTGGAGCACATAATCGTAAGCTCTGTCATGAAGCATCTTGAAAGCAAAAATATACTCAATGACTGTCAACATGGCTTCCGAGTCAATAGGTCATGTGAGACCCAGCTTCTCGAATTTGTAGAAGACTTGATGACCAATCTGGAGAACCACAAGCAGACTGACGTGCTAGTAATGGACTTCGCAAAAGCATTTGACCGGGTGAATCATAGTTTGCTTCTACACAAACTCCAGATATATGGGATTCAAGGCACCACTAAAACATGGATCTCTAGCTTCCTCAGCCACCGACGCCAAGCAGTAGTGGTGGGCGGTACAAGCTCCTCCTTTGTCAATGTGAAGTCAGGGGTCCCCCAGGGATCAGTCCTGGGCCCCTGTTTGTTCCTAGCATACATTAATGACCTACCGGAGAAACTGACATCACAGGCAAGACTGTTTGCAGATGACACAGCAGTGTATAGGACGATCGCCAACAGATCTGACCAGGACCAGCTACAACAGGATCTCAATCTGTTAGCTGAGTGGGAGATGAGCTGGGACATGGAATTTCACCCTGCCAAGTGCCAGACACTATCAATCTCTAGAAGTTGTACTCCTCTACACTACCAATACAAACTGCACGGCCATATTCTTGAGCAAGTTTCCTCCGTAAAGTACCTGGGTGTTACCATTCAAAGAGAGGTCCGCTGGGACGAGCATATTAACAATGTATGTAACCAAGCAAACCAAGCCTTGGGGTTCTTAAGGCGAAATCTAAAGATTGGCAACTCCTGTGTGAAAGAAAGAGCATATAAAGCCTTTATCCGTCCGATTTTAGATTATGCATCTTCAGTCTGGGACCCATTTACCCAGAAGAGCATTGACAGGTTGGAGGCGGTCCAGCGACGAGCAGCACGCTTTGTCCTAAACCGCTACAGGAATACCTCTAGTGTTGGCAGCATGCTAGAAACACTAGGCTGGTCACCATTGGAGAAACGACGACGACAATCCAGGCTCTCCATGATGTACAAGATAAATAATGGGCTGGTCCACTGTTCCAGTATTAAACAGAAACTCGTCCCTCTCCCCCATAGACAGCGACGAGGCCATGACAGGCAATTCAGGCTCATACCAGCAAGAAGCCAGTATAGGAGCTGCTCATTCCTGCCCAAGACAATCAGGGACTGGAACCATCTTTCAAAAGGAACAGTTGAGGCGACAACACTAGACACATTTGTGTCTATTGCCTCAAGCCTTCAAACCCCTAGTGCATAATTTCCTCATCACCACCAGTAACAGAAACATTGCAAATCCCATCTACATGCATAGGAGCCAAAATGATCAATAAATTGATCGTGGGCCCTTAAGATATAGAAGAAGAAGAGATGCTGGTAACCCTACTGATACGCAGGCCCTTTCTAGTCGGTCGGTACCCCCCAACCCCTGTGGCCTCCAGGTCCGAGCCCTCCACTATGTATGGTATTTAATTATTCCCCCCTACCCTTGCCTCTCTCTCTCTCTAACTCGCTATGGTTGACCTTGGCTTACTAGTCACTCTGTGACAATGATTCATAATGAAAACTCAACATTTATGCAAATGAGATATCCTGATTTGCATAATTTATACATGCAATTTGTTTACACTTTGAATAAACACGTCTTACAGTATTTTGCTGAATTTTCTGATCGCTGAAGCCTAAATGAGTCCTACCAAACATGTGAATGAGACTCAATGTGAAAAACAGCATTAAGTATTTCACTGGGGCTACTTATGCCTTTTTGCATATTTCAAGTTCACATTTTTTTAAGCACTTATTAAGGTCAGGTACAAAAAGATTGCTATAAAATGACAGATTACTCTAAACTATCATCTGAAGCCACCATTAAAATATGAAAATGAGCAACAATTGAGACAATCAATCTGATTAGCTGGTACAAAGACCAGTTAGCCAATCTTGAGGCCTGTATTATTGGGCTGATGGAACAGCCATTTGTATTTAATAATAGTAATAATAAAGTTCATTTCAAAAACACGCTTCATCCCCAAAGGCTCGAAGCGCTGTACAAAGTCAACAAAAAACAAATCTTTAATTTACCACATTTAAAACAAACGCAACACTGCAAAAACTAATTACAAGCATACAATGTCACCATTCAACTCTGCACAGACATTTAACAATTGCAATATCACTCAAACTGAGACATAAGATCATAGACAACTTCTCGCTGCATTAAAAACCGATTCCTGATTATTTTACTGAGGAGGTTCTGCTTTGCCATGGGTGGAATGTTTTGGATTGAGAGGGTGGGGCTTGTCTAACCAGTGTTCATTCACTAGTTATTAAAATAGTTGACTATCAACTCCTATGTCTACTTGGATTGATTAATTCGTCAAGTTCTTTCACACATTGAATGCGTCGTACTATTCTAACTATCACTGAATAAACTCAAGACTTTTTCATTATAATTATAACTTTGATATCTAAGTATATACTATACACATAAACACATGAATGTAGCGCAGCTCGCTATCAGATATAAATAATACACATCCTACTTCTACAAAGTTCCACTTAATATGTCACACTCAGCATAAAAATACGTCATAGAGTAAAGGGGGGGGGGAGAGCCTGCCGAACGTAATGAACATAATACCCAGTTCCAATAATAATACTAATTAACTCCCATACTTGACATTAGCCATATTTAACTCTATAATTGAGATTAAATATGAAATTACATTCAAAGTAAATTACATGCACAATTTCAAAGTACCATGCATATTTACTTAATAATTTATTAACCTCTGAATGATTGTCATGGACAGATGTAGCATAGATAATTAATTGGTATGTCAGTACCAGTAATTGACTATAAATATAAGCAAATCAAATAGTAATATAACTTATTATAACTATACAAATTTTGTGACCCCCCCCCCCCTTTTCCCCTCCCCCTATGTGCGATATCATTTACAGATGGCCCCAAAGTAGCTACAAATAGTAAAACTATTCAAAATGACTTAAAGTTCAGTTTAGTGTCTGGAGGTAGACTTCCCTGGATTTAAATCAAGTTTAAAATTAGATTTAAAATCAGTAAATGTGTATTGATAGGCTCCCATAGTTTGTGTGTTTTTTTACCAAATACTTATGACCCAAAGAAAGGCAATTTTCTTTTATTTCAGCTTTTCAGTCAATTGGTACAATTTGCATTCCATTTTCTCTTGGAACCAAGCAAGGTAACTTTTAAAGAATTTTTAATTAACCTTTGCGCTGCATAGAAAAGAATCTAAATTAGGGACAAACTTCTTTGGTGCTATTGAATTTAAATTATAAACCTCAATGCCATTACTTAGTCTCTTTAAGTTTCAATTAGCACGCAAATGCCATATAGAGGGCAACCCTATTATATTTTTTCACAATTAACATTTTTGTTTTGTTCTTCTATCACCAAGTCTGCCCGGTTGATGACACAATTGGAGGAGTTTGCACAGGAAAACAGTATTGGTGTTGGGCCTTTACGAAACGTATTTAAGAGCTTAGTGTCCTTACCCAATTGTAAGAATCTCTATTTTCTTTTAAACCAAAATTGAATGAATATTTTCTTAACATCTATATGAAATAATTATTTAATCGTTAAGGTCTGCAAAGTTTGTTTTTATGTAAATTGGTTGTGGAATAAAATTTGGGGAAAAAAAAAGGGGGGGGGTTGTGTCTATTGGTAATAAATGTATTTAAAAATCTTTTATGCCATTCTTTTTCAGACTTATTAATTTCCAGTGATATCTTTTTGAGAGTGCATGGAATGGAATTTTCAATTAAAATTGGTGTGCTATATCATCACTTTTATTCATTTTTTCTTAATACAGTATAAATAAATTTTTCTACAGCTGCTCTTAAGAAATCTTTGAGTCCACAACAGTTACAGGAAGATCTACAGACTCTAGGTACTCTGTTAATATTAAGTGTTACTAATCTATCATTCTTATTCAATGTGATATTTTCACCTCCCCTACATCTAAATACTTGTATATTTATTGTGCACTGAAATAGCTTTTATAAAAAAAAATCCCAATCGTGTTCAATTATCTTAACAGGTTTGTCTGAAGAAAAGTCACAGCTAGTAGCCAGTCAGTTTGAAGCTAATTTATTAACTCTGTCCAAAGGAGCTTTAAGTCAGACGCTGATGGTCAATCAGCTTGTGGACATTGAGTGGAAATTTGGAGGTAAGAATGTTTTTTTTCTCTAGGATGAAGGCTCTCTCGTGGGAGATGCTGATCTTCTATCGAGCGCCTCCCCAGCCGGCGGATAGGGGAAAGCCCGCCAGATATGGAGGGTACCGGGGAAATAAAATACCCGGGGCGGACCAAAATCAGCCCTACTGCCTTGTAGGAAGTGGAGGGATCCACAAAGGCTAGGGACCTAACCCGAACAAAGGCAGCTACCCATTGAGCTGTGAGGGGCAACCCCCCAAGTGGTTGTGCGCAAGGCCAACAACCCTGCCATGTAAAAAATCATAGTTACAAAAGCACCGAAAAGAGTAACAAAAGACATTTCAGTCCTGGGAGAGGATGGATTCCTTGAGGAGGAAAATATGACGCCTAATAGTGAAAGCCGAAACCTGGAAGCTATTAAGCCGACAACCATCATCTCTACCAGGACTACCACCGTCATTGGCGCTTGGAATGTCCGCACCATGTACGAGGCTGGTAAAGCGGCACAAATAGCCGCTGAGATGAGGAGCTATAAGCTCACCATTCTCGGAATTAGCGAAGCAAGATGGACTGGATGGGGACAGAAGAGATTAATCTCAGGAGAGATGGTGATATTTTCGGGACACGAAGAAGAAAATGCCCCACATACCCTGGGTGTTGCTATGATGCTATCAAGGGCAGCACAAGGAGCACTCATTGGATGGGAGGCCCATGGACCTAGAATTCTTTTAGCAACCTTTCGAACAAAGAAACGTAGCATCAACCTAGATGTTATACAATGCTACGCACCAACTAATGAAAGTGATGAAGGAGACAAAGAAGAATTCTACAATAGAGTAATGACCATAGTCCAGGGTCGCCCACGGAGGAACATCGTCATCCTCATGGGAGACTTTAATGCCAAGATCGGCAATAGCAACACAGGGTACGAAGAGGTTATGGGACAGCAAGGGATAGGAGAGATGAATGACAATGGTGAGAGGTTTGCGGACCTATGTGCCACAGCTGACCTGGTCATAGGGGGGAGCATCTTCCAGCACAAGAGGATTCACAAAGCTACATGGGTCTCTCCGGACATGAGAACGATGAACCAAATAGACCATGTATGTATTTGTAAAAAATTCAGGCAATCTCTCCAAGACGTACGTGTTAAGAGGGGAGCTGATATTGCCTCAGATCACCACCTTCTTGTGGCCAGGATGAAATTAAAACTAAAGAGACATTATACCGAGCAAACAGCATACAGGACTCGGTATAATACCTCCCTCCTGAAGGACCAAGCCAAAAAGGAAGAATTCAGAATCTCACTATTCAATAAGTTCCAAGTCCTACAAGAAATACTTGAAGATGAAACCACCGAAGGAAAGTGGCAAAGCATGAAAGAAACAGTCCAGTCAACATGTCAAGAAGTGCTAGGAAACAGGAAAAAGGCACACAAAGAATGGATGACAGCAGGTACGCTGAATAAAATAGAAGAAAGGAAAAGAAAGAAATCAGAAGTGAATAACAGCCGCACCCGAGCACAGAAAAACAAGTCCCAGAAGGAGTATGCAGATGCAAATAAGGAAGTTAAGAAAAGCATCAAGAGGGACAAGAAGGAATTTGTTGATAAACTTGCTAAAGAAGCAGAGGATGCAGCTCACCAGGGGAACATGAGGGAACTGTTTGATACCATTAAGACGCTGTCAGGGAAATTTAGCAAGGTAGAGAGACCAGTGAAGGACAAAATGGGAAACACCATACCAAGTGAGGAGCAACAGAGAGGGAGATGGAAGGAGCACTTTGAAGAGCTCCTGAACAGGCCTGAACCAAGAAATCCACCAGATATCCAACCAGCCGATAATGACCTGCTAATTGACTGTAATAGTCCCACCAAAGAAGAGATTAGTAGGGCCATTAAACAACTCAGAAATGGAAAGGCTGCGGGACCTGATGGCATCCCAGCAGAGGCACTGAAGGCATCCTTTTAGAGCAGTCACTAGAGTGGAACTCGCCGCTCTATGTCTACTTTGTTGACTATGAAAAAGCCTTCGACAGTGTTGACAGGCAAACCCTGTGGAGATTGCTAAGGCATTACGGGGTGCCACAGAAGATTACTGATATAATCAGAAACATGTACGAAGGGATAAACTGCCGAGTTATCCATGGCCAGCAGTTGACAGATGCTTTCCAGGTGAAGACTGGTGTGAGACAAGGTTGCTTGCTGTCACCATTCCTCTTCCTGTTAGCCATTGACTGGGTGATGAAAACATCTACACAGCACGCCGCTCTATGTCAACTTTGTTGACTATGAAAAAGCCTTCGACAGTGTTGACAGGCAAACCCTGTGGAGATTGCTAAGGCATTACGGGGTGCCACAGAAGATTACTGATATAATCAGAAACATGTATGAAGGGATAAACTGCCAAGTTATCCATGGCCAGCAGTTGACAGATGCTTTCCAGGTGAAGACTGGTGTGAGACAAGGTTGCTTGCTGTCACCATTCCTCTTCCTGTTAGCCATTGACTGGGTGATGAAAACATCTACACAGCAGAAAAGGAATGGCATCCAATGGACCTTGTGGGATCAACTGGATGATCTTGACTTTGCTGATGATCTTGCACTTCTTGCACATACCCAACAACAGATGCAGGAGAAAACAAACATTGTCGCAGCCACTTCTGCTAGCATGGGTCTCAACATTCACAAAGGGAAGAGTAAAATCCTCAAGGTTAATGCCACCAGTACATCACCCATTATGCTTGAAGGAGAAGCCCTTGAGGAGGTGGACAGTTTTGTTTACCTTGGCAGCATGGTAGATAAACAAGGTGGTACAGATGCGGACGTCAAAATAAGGATAGGAAAAGCAAGAGCAGCCTTCCAACAACTCAAGAATGTTTGGGTCTCTAACAACTTAGGCAGCAAGTTAAAAGTAAGGATTTTTAACGCTATGGTAAAACCTGTGCTGCTATATGGAGCCGAGACATGGAGAACAACGGCCGTAAACCTGACCAGAATCCAGTCCTTCATCAACAACTGTCTAAGAAGGATTCTCAGAATTCACTGGCCAGACAAAATCAGCAACCAGGAACTGTGGCAGCGGACAAAACAGAAACCCATTGAGGAAGAGATTCTCCAGAAGCGGTGGAGGTGGATTGGTCATACACTAAGAAAACCTGCTTCTAACACAACAAAGCAAGCCCTGAAATGGAACCCACAGGGTAAGCGGAAAAGAGGCCGTCCAAGAAACACTTGGCGCCGAGAATTGGAGACAGACATCAAGAAAATTGGCCATGAATGGAAGATCCTGGAGAAACTGGCCCAGGATAGAGATGCCTGGAGGTCTTTCGTAGGTGGCCTATGCCCTTGGAGGAACCGCAGACGCCGACGATGAGCGGTGGATGCCCCTCATGGACGAGAAGGCTCAACCAGGATGAAGGCTGTTTATCTAAATCAGCTTTCTACAAACTTCTATTACATATGCAGTTCTAGTATTTTTTAATGTTATTTTTAAAGGACTTTTCAGTTTGGGTAATTTTTCAGTTTGGGTTATGTTGTTGTATACTTATAGGAGCAAAAATGTGTGAAAAAATCTTTAAGAAACTACAATATCTTTATGAAAAACAAACAATAATAAAATATTAATATTTATTGTAATGAATGATAATATTAAAACAGATTTTAATAAATAACTAAATAAAAGTCTGAGTTTACAGTCGATTGGTAGCTTGAGTTAAAGAAATTATGGTTTCGGAAAAGGTCATCAGAAAGTTTTGTGAACATTCTATCAATCTTCATGTAATGAGTTTTTTAAACCTGTTTGTTGGATTCAGATAGCATTAAATTTTCAAAGCTTTTCTCAAGATCATTTCATCAATCTTATTCTACGATACTTTGATGTAAATATTAATTCAATTGAAAATAGAATAACTTTGACATAATTTGCATCTGGCTTTCATTAGTTAACTTATCTACCCTTATTTTTATATTGTTCAGAAAAATAATAATAATCTCATCAATCATTTCATAAAATTACAGATAAATAATTATAATCAAAAGTACTATAAAGCAGGCCTGCAATCCACTTGGCGACCCGCGAAGTAATGAAATATTCTTTATTATTATTATTTTCTTAATAGCTTTCCACCCTGTCCTATTTTCTTTTGGCCCTCACGAGTTTTTCATAATTTATTACGGCCCACATAAGTTTTTCATAAAGTATTACGGCCCGCCTTACATTTTGAGTTGTGAAGCCCTGCTATAAAGTGATCGAGCATGGTTGCGTAAATAACAGGTTTGAAGAAATTATTAAAAATTCTTCTGTTAAGTTTTTAATCACTTTGTTATTTCAGTGACTGCATCCAGTAGTGAGTTGGATAAAGTTGGGAATACTTTCCTTCAGGTGAGAAACTTGTTAGCGTATTTTATTATTTTTTTTAATTTCATGAAGGGATGAGAGTAAATCTGATAATGTGCATTTTTATAGTTTATTGGTACTTTGATCAATTTAAACAGTCAAGCTACTTATATATTTTATCAAATCCAAATAACAATTTAAAATTTATTAGGTTTTTTTTTTCAATTTGAAATTAAGCTACTGCTATTTTTAATAAAATCAAATATTTTTTAACTTATTTCCAGATTCCTTTTTTTAAAGTAATAATTAAAAATAGTAATTATTAGATCTAATTTTAAAAAAAAACATAATTAAGGGATGAAATTATTATTTTGATAATAGAAGTTACTTTAATTATTTCAGCTAAAACTTGTGATCAACACAGGCAATGGAACCAAGAATGTTTATTTAGGTGAGCTGTTGTAAAGAGTCTGGTTCCTCATCCTCATGTCCTTCAGTCCTTGGACCGTTGGGGCGCCACACATGACATGTGAACCATCCTCCTCCATTCCTCTCTGTCTTCAGCACTACGCACTTCATCGCCTAGTGTTAGTCCTGTCCACTCTTTGTTGTTATCCTCTCATCTTATTCTTTGTCTTCCTCTTCTTCTCCCTCCTCTTGAGGTGCCCTGCAATATTTCTTTGGCAAGCCCTTGTTTCCTTGCTATGTGGCTGTACCATTGTAGTTTGCGTTTTTTTACAGTCACCAGTAGGTCATCGTATTCCCCAATTGCCTGATGAACCCTTTCTTTCACTGTATCATTGGAGATATGGTCCCTATAGCAGATGCCAAAAAGGCTTCTGAAGCATCTCATCTCCATCGCCTTTATTTTCCTTTCAAGATCGGCTGTTAATGTCCAGGATTCGCAGGCATACAGGAAAATGGAGAGGACTTATGAGCGCATCAGCCTGATTTTGGTGCTGGGGGCTATATTTTTGTCATTCCATATTTTCTTGAGCTTCTTTTGTGCTGTTGTAGTCTGCGCAATCCTGGACATCAGTTCGAGCTTGGAGCCCTCTTCTGAGACTACTGCTCCTAGGTATTTGAAGCGGCCAACAGTCTCTAATCTTTCTTCCCCGACCTTAATGTCAGTGGTGATGCCTGCGGTATATTTTTCATCAGTTTTATCTTTTCGGCACTGATTAACATGCCGTAGGATGACGAGGTCTTATCGAGATGCTTTAACTAGGTTGGCTAGCTCTTCTTCATTCCCAGCCAGTCCGTATATGTCTCCGCAAAGCATAGGTTGGTGATTGTTCTGCCACCAATGCTGACTGTCCCTTCATGCGCTTCCAGAGCATCTGACATAATTCTCTCTAGTAAGATGTTGAATAGGGTGGGGGAGAGCAGGCAGCCTTGTCGTACTCCAACCGTGGTCTTGAACCATTCTCCGATGTTGTTGTTGAGGAAGACTGCACTGGTGGCCTTGTCATAGAGGTTGCATATCATGCTGGTTAGGTTTGTGTTGATGTTGTAGTGCCTCATGGTGGCCCATAAAGCAGCATGCCAAACCCTGTAGAATGCTTTGTTGAAGTCAACAAAGACGTAGTATAGGTTTTGTTGGTGTTAAGCATATTTCTCACATAGTATTCGGAGGTTTAGAATCTGCTCAGTAGTGCCCCGTCCTTGTCTGAAGCGCGCCTGTTCTTCAGCAATGATTCTGTCAGCATATGGTTTTAGTCGGTTCAATATGACTTTCAGCATGACCTTTCTTGGATGGCTTATTAGGCTAATTGTGCGATAGTTTTGGCATAGCTGTAGGTTACCTTTTTTGGGGAGGGTGACGATGAGCGATTGGGTCCATGGTTTTGGGCTATTCTCCTGTAATCCAGATTTTGTTACAAATATTGAATTGGCACTTATCATTGCTGGTTATCTTAAGTTTTTTGAAGGATTATTAGCAAATTAATAAATAATTGAATAGAGTGTTTAGTAACTGATCTCAATCTGATTAAAATTCAGTATTTTTGTTCATTTTGTTAAGAGGACGCTGTCAGGACAGCTTTAAAGCTCAGTTGGTAAATTTGAAAGGCTCTTGTTTAGACACTAATAAACTAATGATTGGCTTACTTATTTATTACTGAAAAGATATTGTATCATTGTTTGGAAAATTTTAAACAAAGAGAAGCTTTGTCACTGAATGTTAAATTCTAATTATACAATTTCACTTGAGGCTAAAATAATTTTACTTCGACTTTTTAAAATTTGCACAGCAGTGATTTTAAATTCTGTATTAAACATTGTCATGATCCGTAGGTGATTGGTTTCTTTCATCAAATTCTTTTACACATTCAAATGACATTGTTACGCACTGGGTTCTCTTGTGAGAAATTAATCTCCTATTTTAATTTTATGGCTCGTTCAAACAGTGCCTAACAAAGGACAATACCATAGAGAAATACAATAACAAAAAATACAACACCCAAAACAGTACCAATTACAGTTAATAAGATTTAATTTAGTAATAATACAATTACAAAACAAAAGATATATAATTACAAATCATCAAATTACAGAGTATGGGAAAATCTTGTATCGGTACACAATTAGTACAATGTGCCAATTAATAATGATGAATGATGAATGCGAATAAACACATATGAGTACACAAAGAAAAATACACATCTCGTGAAGTTAAAAATATCTATCTGAATCTCTCTCTCAATCTCCGTGAACCTCTGTCCCTGTCAATCCCTTATATATGCAGGGTAAGTACTGTCTTCCAGAAACTACTCAGACATTGGTTACGTTTCTCGGCAAATCAAGAGCTTTCGACAAGATACTAGGAGACAGACTAACCATGTTTAATTGGTAGTCGGTAGTAAACATGACACATCAAAGAGATTAAACCACGCCCACAACAAACGTTAGCATCTGCTAGGATTCTAATGTGGGGTCAAACAAAGTTCACGGCACGGGGAAGTCCTACATAACAGTCATAATCACACCAAATTGAACACAAGTCCTTTTTCCAATAGCAATGTAAACTTTAATCCAGAAACATTTATTTATGTGCCAAAAATGAATATGCACTATATAATATAAAATATTCCCTTTTATTTGGATCAATAAAATAAACTTATCTTATGTACATCAGGCTGTACAATAAATCAAACACATGTATAGCACAGCTTACTAAAAGCAATAGAATATATTACAATCTTCTTCCACGAAGTTCTCACACCAACTGCCACATGATTAGCATGAGCACCAAAGACAGACCACAGACACAATGTCACAGCTACAATAAAAACACTCACCATACTTCAAAACCTTAACGGGACCAAAAGTGTGCATTTACTAAACTAACAAATAAGACACTCGGCACACGATAAAACATTATATTGGGCGCACAACAATTATTAGTAAATACCTATACAGGGTGCATTGTTGTAATAAAAGATGACTTAATATCCTGAAGCACTTGAAATTACAAGTTAAATATTATAGTTGACTGTTTTATATTGAAGAATAATTTTACAATAATATTTTAGATGTGCACAAAACAATGTATTTTTTAATTTTTCTATTTCAGAATTGACCTTGCCCCAGTTTTACTCTTTTCTTCATGAAATGGAAAAAGCTAAAGCTAGTTTAGAATATTTGGGATGATGTGTCCAGATTTTTCTTTTTAACTGTATATATAATAAAATTAATTTGTATGGAAAAATAAGAAACAATTATTCATATTAACTCATGATGCAACCAAAACCAAATCTACTGTCAGATATCACTTCATTTGATCCATGCTGAATAAGATGATACAACCAACACCAAATCTACTGTAAGATATCACTTCATTTAATCCATGTTGAATCAGATGATACAACCAACAACAAATTATCTACTGTCGGTTATCACTTCATTTGATCCATGCTGAATCAGATCATACAACCAACAACAAATTATCTACTGTCAGTTATCACTTCATTTGATCCATGCTGAATCAGATGATACAACCAACAACAAATCTACTGTCAGATATCACTTCATTTGATCCATGCTGAATCAGATGATGCAACCAACAACAAATCTACTGTCAGATATTACTTCATTTGATCCATGCTGAATCAGATGATACAACCAACAACAAATCTACTGTCAGATATCACTTCATTTGATCCATGCTGAATCATACTATTTAATTATCTGATTTCACCCCAGAATGACAGAATATTTTCTTTTTTATTGATATGATGTTAAGTTGGCTGATTTAGATAAAATTATAACACATATTTACCCATCAATTTTTTGTGTAGTGTTTTTCCTTACATATGGAGTATTGCTTAATTATTTTATTATGAAGTGTTATCTTTGTGATCAGTAGAATTTTTATTAAATCTTAAAATAAATTGTGATTAAATTCTGGATTGTCCTGTTATTATATCTTGTATAGGAACTGGTTTTGTATTGATGAAATAGTGTTGCATCATTGAACTAGTGTTGTATTGTTAAACTAGTGTTGTATTGTTAAACTAGTGTTGTATTCTTAAACTAGTGTTGTATTGATGAAATAGTGTTTTACTGTTGAACTGTGTTGTGTTCATGTTGTGAAATGTCATTTTATTTAATGAGTTATACAAATATTACGGCTTTATTCATAAATAAGTGAACCCAGCGGTCTTTCTGTTTCAGTTTTGGGGCTGTTAGTCTAATGATAAAATAAACTCATAGCAAAGGTCTTCAGCTTTAAACTGGTGGAGTTGATCAAGAAGAATCTAACAAAAGTCTGGCTTGAAAGGAACAAATGGGCAGTGCCACTATCCTATGAATGCTATCAACATTGTTTCAACTCAGTGATTTGTTATCTTGCAACTGGTGAGGGTTTTATTGATTAATTTATTTGATTGTTTTGGTTGGGTTGGGGGGGGGGGCATCAATATATGATGTATGGAAAACAAAAAGTGACCACCCAACCACCTCATATGCACCTGTATGCAAAATCTAAACAACACTTTGAAATGTAAAATATGGATTGTATCTGGCTATTTCTAATCTTTTACATAGAATGGGAAATAAACAAATCTTTACAAAGAAATTCTGCTACCCCAGGGAGGAGCTTATTTTTGTGCAAAAGAATGGTACAATACAGTTTTCAAAAACTTTTGGTACCGGGTAATGAAGATTTAAAGAAGGGATTGGAATGATTAGCTCCCTTTGTGTTTTGTATCTAAAAGCCTCTTATTTTGCCATTATGGGCTCAATATTTGTTTGAAGCAAAGTGCACAATTCATGTGTAATTCAAATAGTTAAATTAATTGTAAATGTTAAAATTAATTATTTATTTATTTATTAAATACAAAAAAAAAATTCAAAGTAAAGTTAAAAATTACATTACCAAATTAATTATAATAAAAAATATTAAGTAAAAAAATACAATCTTATTGGTAGTAGAGGACAATGGTCTTTTCACTTAATATTAAATGATATCTCCCATAATGTCTTGATAGCAGCAACATTGAATGGATCCTCAATTCTGGCGCTTCCCACCCGAAAGTCTGAAATGTCCCATCAATATTGTCTGGGAAAAACATCTTTTACAAATATTCACCAAAATCCATGCCCATAATTTGTAATTTTAATTTGCCCAATAGTCTTCAAGACCTCCAATCCCTTCCCTCACGCTGATCAGTCGGACAGTACTGGATTGAATTTAAAAGCTTGTGACTAATTCCCGTGGAGCTCACCACAACCGGAGTGAATTAATTTTATGTATAGCACTGGGCGCCATAATGCCTGCCCCGGACCCTTAAAGAAATTCCTTCCTCCGATCAAAAAGTCTAAAAGGATCATTTAATTGAGGCATACTCCGAAATGCACCTAATAATTTTGAAATATAAAAAAAAATTATGGGAAGGGGCTCTATAGATTCTAGACTAGGGTGACCAAACCATGACCTGGAAAAAACGGGACACTTTCAAGGACGGTTCGGGGGGGGGGGGGGACCAAACCTTAAAAAAATTATTGCAAATGTGCACTCGGCTTCACTTTCAAAGCGTCTCTTTTTAATATAGTTCCACTCTTTGGAATACTCCGCCATAAACTTACATTGACGCTTTGGCATAATTATTGTTCTAATGAGAAGATAATATAAAATTGAAGAATAAAGTTTAACACCTAAAACAAGCATCAGTCACTCTGACAAACCCCCCACCCCCACCCCTAGTCTAGTGTCTTTCATTATACATTTACTTATAAGATCTATGGCAGGGAAACTGTGGTGTAGGAGGAATAGAGCAGCAATCAGGCGAACCCACATCACTACTGGCACTGGCTACACGGCTAGCCAAAATATTACACGACGTTATATTATAAATTAGGAAGTTTTAGTGATTTGAAAATGTGTTTGGTTTAAAAAAAACGGGACATTTAGGCGCCCCGAGAGACTTTTTCGGGACAACGGGTACGATCGTGAAAAAAACGGGACAATCCCGTTTTTAGGGGACGTTTGGTCACCATAGACTCTAGACCCCTCTTCCGCCCAATTAAAGACCTCGATTTCTGCCCTACTTCCCAATAAAATTGATCGACGATTTCGGTGCCCATACATAAACTGCTCAGTGGCGTAGCTACTATTAGTGCTGCCATGGGCGGGCCAAGATTTTTTCTGCACTTCATATCACTTTCACGATACAAACTCTGCAGTTTTTCGAAAATGCGGCCCCTCCATTAAAGAAAAAAGTGACACATGATAGGACTACCAAACCAGCCTCCTTTCTACGCCAATGGAAGAGGCGTAGCTACAGTGTTTTGCGCTAGGGGACAAGATTCTATTTTACGCCCCCCCCCCCCACTCAACTCTGTAACACATTATTTGCATCCATTAAATAACATCAAATCCCATTTTGGTGGTTCCAATACTCTTGCACCCGGGGGAAAACTGCCCCCTTAGCTACGCCTCTGCTTACTGGCACTGTCCAGTCGAAAATCTCCGTCCGGAGGAAATTGAATGAAAGAAACACTGGGCGATGTATTTCAAGGTGCATAAATCCAAACTCTACTGAGCAATTCATTTATCTACCTCAGTGAAAATGTCCTCCGCTTTTAGTTCATGCATACTATGCGCAGATGATAATTATACTTTTGATTTCAGATTAACTGCTTGGGCCGGATAATCCAACGTCGGTCGCGGGATGTGGCAAGATGGCCGTAGTTTTCCGCCCCTGCGTTAGATTACTAATTTGCGGAATTCCCTGTAGTTGTTTTTAGAAACTGAAAACGACACATTAATTCTTGGAAACAGTTGTTACGACTCGCCGAGAAACCGAAAACAGGTAGACGTATTCTGCCAATTTTTGGCCTAAATACCGTCTTCTTATTTTAGTATTGATAAAAATTTGCATGGAACCAAGTGCTCTAGCACAGGCCTGCATAACTCAAAATGTAATGCGAGCCGTAAAACTTTGTGAAAAGCTTGTGCGGGCCAAAAGTAAATAGGACAGGATTTGTGCGGTCCAAAGGAAAAGAGGACAGAAGGGAAGCTATTAAAAAAATAATAAGAATAAATAATATTTCATTACTTCGTGGGCCGCAAAATGGGTACTGGGGACCGCATGCGGCCCGCGAACCGTATATTGTGCAGGCCTGCTCTAGCATAGTATAGCGTTTCCCTTTCCCGAAAGGATGTCCGCGACTAGTCCGCGAGCCTTACGTTGCCAGTACCGACAACATGAATATGTATGGTCAAAAAAGAAAAAAAAGGAAAATATTATGAATAGATCTGGCGCCGGTCCCTGGTTCTATTTAGAACTTTGTCTACCAGTCCGCCTAGGTTTGGGAAACATTGTTTGAGCATACATTTCCATTTTGGGATATTGTCACGTGACTAAACGCTGTAGGATACGTTAAAGCCAGCCTAGATTTAACTATATTCTCTCAAAACTATTCGATGGCTGATGGCGCACTCGAATTAATACTTATACATTTGTTAAAAATATAACTGTTACATTCTTCTAATAGTTATTAATTTTCTTGTTGTAAATCACTGGTTTGATAGTATCTCTTGTATACTGTATATTTCTTGCATTACGCAAACATTTTGCTCGCTAAAAATTGTTAACATTATTACAATTTATATTTTCCTTTGAATTATTGCTACCATGGGATTTATCTTTTCCTGACTTATTTATTTCAATAGTGTTGCATTCTCTTGCTCAAGTGTCCAAACTGGCATTTCGTGTGTGTTGCTAAATCCCGAAGGCCATAGTTCTTTATTTTATTTTTTTAACAGGTAGAACATTGACATTTTTAAACATAAGAATTATCCTCGAAAAACTATGTTTAAAAAATTCAAATATTCGGCCTACATCTTATATTTAAGAATTTAACATTCCACGTAATTTTTCTTGTTAATCTCAGCAGACCTAAGGCCTACTAGCATCACTAGGAGTAAATGGTGGAGTGGGAATGAGTATGCCTGGTGAGAAATAATGTTTACCTTGGAGTTGACATACGTACATCAAACATTACACATCAAACATTACACGGAAGCTATTGAATATCTTGTGAAGTCACAACTTACCAGACATATAGAACATAATTTATTTTAATATATTTTAAAATATTTAGATTTATTCTTCATGATTAAAAGTGGAATCTGCAACAGAGACAGAGTCTAAATATGGTTTGTGTGGAAATAAGAACGTATTAATTAATCACTGTTTTAAATTGTACTAAAAAAGTATTCAATTCCTTTATTTGTGATATTCATTTTGATTTATCATTATCATGCTCATCAATTTTGTCATAGGCAAAGGTGAATAATATTGCATAATCCTAGGGAATGGTGATATTTCAATTATTATTTTGGATTTATTATTTTTTTTTAACAAAATAAGGAAACTTAGGCTTTTTCAAACCATTCATTTCTTGAAATTCCTCATTATCATGCTCATAAACACGAAATAACATGCATTTGCATGTATCACGGGTTCGTATTATAATTATGTGGTAGCCCTACTGCAGACCTGTTAACTTTTATGATTTTGGCTACCAATTTAGATTTCTTATGGGATTATACGACGCGACCCGTCTAAACAACAATTTTAAGAGACCCGATTTAAAAAATAATTTTCCCCACCAATGGGGGTGAGGGAGGTTGGTCGCTGAACGAAATAATTACGTCACCAGCACGGAAAGACTAGTGTGTTGTTACTAGGCTAAATATTAATACAGCTATATCTTGCAAGCTATATATATGAAAACACAAAGCATTAGTATGACGATAACCGCTAAAAATTGGGGGTGATATATTTGTAGCCTTAATAACTTATATTTAAGTGACAATTGGCTGTGGTAGAGCCACAGTAAATGTTGTGGGTATATGCTCTAGGTTGTAATTATATTATAAAAGCGAAAGTCTCTCAATGCTCTATATTTTACCCCCCACCCCCTTAAACCTTTACCAAGTTTTCGCCTACCATACTGATTTTAAAAAAAACATTTAAAAGAAAATTACATTACTTTAAAATTAAAATTGTAAAAGAATAAGTATTTATTAGATCAGCACTCTTAAACTGAAATCTTCCGGGGGCCGCAGGAGGTTGAGTCTGGTTGAGACTGGTAGCATCAAGTATTCCACAAAAAATGAAATATTCGATAAAGGACAACTGTTACAATCTGCTCAACCTATATGAATAACGAATAAAAACATTAAGGGTTCTCAAGAACTAGGATTCACTTTCTTCCACCTACTCACTGTTGCCAGAGACCCGGCAGCGCTTCTTTTTACACAGCGGAACAACTTTGGCTTGAGTGAGGAAGCAACTAAGACTCTCAGTATAGCTTGAAGATCCTCATCAGTAAGTTTGGCCCTGAATTTTGATTTGTTAAAGTTCATAGTGAAAAAGAGCATTTCACACAGATAGGTAGTCCCAAAATGTCGTATGATCCGCTTGAACAACTTGTAAATCTCAGTGAAGGCAGAGGGCAATGATCTCATAAATTGTCCATGGTTGTCTGTTTTTCTATCCACCTCCCAGAACTTAGAATTGCTCTGAAGATCAATCAGCTCCATTTGAAGCAAAAAAGGGGCCGGGGGGGGGGTGCAATGTTCCCACTAAGGTTTCCTGGTTCGTGTGCAAAATCATACAGTTGTGTGCAAAGATTTACAGCATCAATTTTTTTTGTGCGCAAAATTTTACAGCCAACAAACACAAAAACACACTTAAATGGAAATTTGCTGCGTGGATACTAAAAAGTGCTGCGCGGCGTCTGTGAGACAGCTGCGCAGCCGCGCAGCCTAAAGGGAACATTGCCGGGGGGGGGGGCATCTTCCACACTAAAGGAGAAATGGTCAGCAAAAAGCTGAAAAGTAGCTGTGTGTGTTTTTAAGTCTAAAAAATGTGATCAAATTCTTCCTGTAGCCTTGCAATGGCATCAGTATACTTACTACAAAGTTTCTTCTGCATAGTGTGCTCGAGTCCATGAGTACTTTGCATGTCGGGAAATGGTAGAGGTTTCTCTAAGTACAATAACACAAATTTTGTGCAGAATGCCCTGACATTGTCATAGGCAACACTGACAAGCTACCCTGGTCTTTTAACTTCTTGTTGAGTACATTCAGCTGCTGTGTAATGTAAACAAGAAAAGGCAAGTCCATGAGCCTTTTAGGTTCGGTGCGGGTCAGCTTGAGTAAGCTCGTTAGTTAGGATAAGCTGGGGTATAGCTAAATATCCAAAGTACATTTGGAAAACCAATTATATTCTTGCCCCGACCGATTATAACTATCTCAATACTACGTACTCCACGGACATGCTATGGCATGCCCCCCCCCTTTTTTTAATTCATTTTCCCCCATCCGTTGCCTAACATACTAATTTGCTTGGTTCAAAATTGTATAAAAGGTTCAGCCAAAATTGTTGAATAAAAATCTATCAATTTTCTTATAAAGCAAACTGAATGTAAACTAAATCCAAATGTTCATTAAATTCTAACAGTTTTTAGTTTAACATATTTGTATTGTTTTATTTTATGCTTATCTTAAAGAGAAATGAAATATGCTTCTAACGTCATATTTATCATGATTCAAATGTAAAGAACAATTTTTGCTGTTTGTTTTCTTTAGAAAATCATCTGAATACTTATGATGGATTATAAGTGGAAGGAGTATCGTCGACAGAACAATGAAGATGAAATTAAAAGAGATAAAGAGTTCAAGTCATCCATGGCTGATTTCCCTTGTTCTTTCAACTTAGGATCGGCAAACTATAGGGATGTCGATCAAGAGAATACACCGGATTTCTATATTTGGGTGACGCCTTTTGTAAGTAAAAATAACTGGCAGCGCCTCAAGCAAGATCTGAGTGAAGAAAACGATGACGAAGAATTTGAGGAAGTTGTATGGAAAAAGAACTTTCTGTCTCGAGTCTGTTTTGAGCTGGATGATATCACAGAGGCTACACGATTGAACGAGGAGATCCTCAGCGAGACAAAGGACACCAATCTCACGGCGCTGGGCAACTCGGCATTCCTACACTTTCTAAACGAAGAGCTCAGCCAAAGCTTACGCGTAGTTCAATCATTGAATGAACTGAAAGAAAAAGATGCATTCATCGACTTAAAATTGCACGCGGCCATCGAGCAAGGCTACGCCCACCGTAAGATTGGGGGCGGTCAAAATCTTCTATGCGCAATCAAACTTTTGACACCGGCAACTAAACGCTTCCCCAGAAATGAAAAAGTCAGATTTCTACTTGCACTGACTTACAGAAGATCGTCTGATTTGATGATGTATGTAGAAAATCCCAAGAAGATCAATTCACGTGATCTAGCAGTGAAAGCAGCCAATGAGCTGTCTGATTTGATGACTACTGCAAAGGACCCTTCAATCAGAGCTGCGTCCTATACAGAGATGGCGTATCTCAAGAAGACAAATGATTCGAAGCCAGAATTTCAACTCATAAAACCAGACGAGTGGGGAGAATATATTGGTTGGGACGGTTGGACTGAGTTATGCCACAGAGCACTCGAAATATGTGACGGCAGGACGGTCAGAGTTCTCAAAATGGTTGGACAGATGCTTAAAAACGATCCGAAAACCTTGGAAAAGGCAATTGACTTGCTCGAACGCTCTATAAAGATAAAACCATCAAGTCGTGCCTATCACCATCTTGGTTTGGCATACATTTACAAGGCTGTTGGCTTCGAAAAGAAAAAGTCGTCGAACAGATTCTACGGTTCTCGGGCAAGAGAAAGTGGGAACGCTTACTATGACCCAAACGGAATTTCAAGCCTAGAAAATCGTTTGCGACTTTTGATTAAAGTGCCTAAAGAAAAGTTACGAAAATTTACCGAAAATAATCCACATCTTCCCGCTGCTGAGGACAACTTAAGGAAAGCTGTTCAGATAAGTCGAGACACCAATACAAGCGCACAATACGACTACGCGGTGTTTCTAGCAAGGCAGCGCAAGTATAGTAAAGCTAAGCAGATCTGCCTAGCGCTAGAAAAGAATTACTTATGCAGTGATTATAGTACAGAGAGGTGACTGCATCTGGTGTCGGCGTACAATTTATTCGGCATGTGCTGCGCACTGGAAGCGGAGGAAGAAACCAACGAGGAGGCAAGGAAGTGTCTTCTAGACCGTTGTGAAAAGATGCTCACCAAAGCGGTGCGAGTCGCCAGCCACATTGCTACAAGCGTACCAGAGCTTCCGAACTGCGTTACAGATTTGTGGGACGCCTTCAAAGACTTGAAAAGTAAATACGCATTCAACGCCAGCGCAGAAAGCCAAAAGAAACTGATCAAACTATGCGAACTTATTTCGGATTACCGTTTCCTCCCTAAACTGGATGAGACGCTTTCTCTTTTGAAAGAAAAAAGGCTGGATAAGGATTGTCTTGAAATTTATCTGAAAAAATCTCTAGAAGATAAAGATTTAGACGGTGCTAATCTCATGCTAGATCTGATCTACTTACACCAAGAAACTTGTAACAAACCCACATTTGCCAACAGTGCAGTCGTTCAAGCCATTTGGTTCGAGCAAGCTAAGCAAGCATTGGCGTGGTTTTTAGAAAATGAAAACAGCGTCCCCGACACAATTTGGAAAAAAATTTTCGTAGAAGAATATGGGACCAGGCAAGGGGAAGACTATGATGTTTTGCTTGTTGAGGACGATGAAAAACTTTCTGCAGCTACATCTGACAATTGGTCTGATTCATCATCAGAGTTTTTAAGTAAATTTTTAACAGATGTCTGTGGACTGGCTGCGACGAGAGTGAATGACGTCATCATTCCTGGAAAGCCTACACTTGATCAGGAAATAGCCGCAATTTGCTCAGTTAAAGTTGTTGTGTTTTTTATTGACGGCGCTCTTGTACAAAGCACTGCTGGTGACGTCTGCAATGAAATCGACATCGAAACAGCAACTGCAGAGCTGAAACGCTTAGCAGTGTCTTCACCAGAGACTACAGCTGAGGCACTAGGTGTCACTTATGGAGGTCAGGCCCTTCCATCTAGAGAACAAACAACAGAGAATAATCGGTTTAGCGACGTTGAAACTCAGCCAGGTCCAGAGAAAAAAGTCTGCTCTGATCGATTTCAGTACTTGTTAACATGCGCCATAGATTCCATGCTGCGTCAAACTCCTAGGCACATATTATTGGCAGTACAAAATGAGGATGGGAAGAGACTGATACCGTGTCAAGCATCGGGGAAACCCGTTCTGGTTATTTCCGAGAAAGACTTCTGCACTTTTACCACTACAGTTCATAACGGAAGAGAAAAGCAAATTGACTTTTTGATCAATATTTTTAAACATATTGTGAGAAAAGGAACACAATGTCCTTAGTAAGATGAAAGAAATAGAAGTAATGTGTAAGAAGCTTTTTAAAGAAAACCTCAAGCTATTGAAGCATTGGCGACCTTTTTCCATCATTGTTACTCTTATTTTTAATAGCTTCAGGAAAATGTACAGATGTACGCACATTGTATGCAATGAAAAGGGCATTCCATAAATAAAACCTTTTAGTTCAGGTTGTGAAATAGAAAGCTATACCCCTGAACTAGATTATATCATGTGCAATCAAATAATATACCATTGAACTAGATTATATCATGTGCAATCACAAACTATACCCTTGAACTAAATTATTTCACGTGCAATCAAAAACTATACTGTGATCTAGTTTATATCATGAGCCCTTCATGCAGTTGGATTTAGTCTCAAAAATACTCGTTACTGAGCGTGAAGCTATCCAACTGTTGATGTACTTTAAGATTATTGTATACAGACTATAGTGATTCATATTATCGTTGGCCAACGTGAAGCTTGTTAGGTCGGGAGTAAAACAAAGCATGGTCAAACCCGAAAAAAGGAACGCAACAAAGCACCGAACGCGTCGGCAGGAAGCCTTCTACAGTGAACAAAAAAAAAAAAAAAAAAAAAAATATAATTTTTTTTTTAAAATTATAAATTTTTTTTTTTTTTTTTTTATTCTTTTGCTTCCCTCTAGGATACTATTTCTCAGTTTTAAGTGCTAACACGTTATTCGTTTTGTTGCGTTCCTTTTTCAGGTTTGACCATCCTTCTTTTACTCATTTCCCCCTTTTTGCTAACCTGATTGCAGTCTCTCGCCTAATTATCAGGTTGTTATGTCGACATTTTAGCCAGCTCTTTACTGCCCGTGTATGAAAATTCGATCCGTGTTAAATAAATCTTAAGTTGTTTTTTTTTTAAATTTAATGTGCTTAAAAATATTTTAGAACTTTGCAATATGAATATTTATGGCTTTTCCCCCCTGTGCTTTATGACGACTTTATGATGGCTTTATGATGGCATTATGATGGCATTATGATGGCTTTATTGTGGCTTTATGATGACGTTATGATGACTTTATGATGGCTTTGTTTTGGCGTTATGATGGCTTTATGGTGGCTTTATGTTGACGTTATGATGGGTTTATTTTAGCGTTAGGATGGCTTAATGATGGCGTAATGATGACTTTATTATGGTTTAATGATGGCTTAATGATGAATTTATTATGATGGCTATTTTTTTTTATTCTTTTTTTTTTTTTTTGTGTAACCGATTAAAAAGTATTTGGAAATGATATTAATTAATATTTCTCTTTCTTAATGGCTGTAATATACTAATACCCCCTCCCCCCCCCCCGCCCCCGCGCTTTTACACCGCTTATTTATTTTCCCAACTATTTCAGAAAAACAAAAGAAAACATTGCGCACCAAATGCTCTTGTGACGCTTTTGCGAATCTCATTTAGCGCTGTTTTCGGGAATCTTATTTCATGAAATGAGTCACCGGCAACGAGTCTATGAGTCAAGTTTTAGCTCGACAAAATGATGGGGAAATTTGGTAATTAGCCTTCCGAAGAGTTTGCTCTAAAGCACAAAAGTGAAGTTAATATAAAAGGATTTTTTTTTTTTAAATGGAGCCATATATTTTTTTCGTTTACAGCTAATGATCGTGAACAAAGTTGGGTTAAGTTTTCCTTTCCAAATATGAACATATTTTATTGTTTGGACTTTGCGAGAAAGAAAGTGGATGTAAATTTTTATGAGATTAATAACATGTATTTTAAAAAAAACAAATTACACTTAAGGCTGTTACAGATGTGAAAATGGGTTAAAACCATCTTCTTCTATATAAAATAGAATATGTTTTACAAGTTTACAATAACAAAACAGACAAATAAGGCATGTGTTTGGCTACAATTTTAATGAAGGTATCATTATAAAAAAATAAATGTCGTTAATGTAAAGATACTAGAAATGATCTCCAGATGTTTTTTGTTTGTTTTTTTTTTTTTTGTAACTTTAAGGACACGTTTTAGAGAAAAAAAAATGTAGTTCTGGGCGCGAAAAGGGGTAAGGTAGGCCAATTTTATAAAGATGATAAATATTTCTCTACACTAAATGATGTTAGAAACTTATCATTATATAAGGAATTCGAAATAACTATTTCCTGAAAATAGATTTCAATAACGTGGAATTTTGTCGATGTTTTGTTGTTTTTATGAATATATAATAATAATAATAAAGTTCATTTAAAAAACACGCTTCATCCCCAAAGGCTCGAAGCGCGGTACACTAAATGATGTTAGAAACTTATCATTATATAAGGAATTCGAAATAACTATTTCCTGAAAATAGATTTCAATAACGTGGAATTTTGTCGATGTTTTGTTGTTTTTATGAATATATAATAATAATAATAAAGTTCATTTAAAAAACACGCTTCATCCCCAAAGGC